ACAGGGCTGGAGGAAGAAGGCACCTTCCCACCTGCTCCTGCAACCCTCTTCCATCCTGGTGTCAGACATGCCTTCTAGTGATGGAGCCCATAAGCCATATGCCCAGTCCTTGTAGAGCCAACCTCAGGACCCTTTCCTCTAAGGCCCTAGCAACAGCCTGCGTGTGCCCTGCCTTGCTGCCAGCCCCAGGCCCCCATCCTCAAGGGGCTGAGGCCCATCCAACCTTACAGGGCCCTTCCTCCCAGGACTTCAAGGGTCAGCATTCTGACTTCTTCCTTTCATCTTCCCTCTGCTTTCTCCCTGGTGAGTTAGGGCTCCCTTTTGCTTTTCAGGGTTCGTTTATGATTTGAATAAGCCAAGCCTTGCTAGGGAAGAAGGGAACTTCTTCTATCTAAGAAAAGACGTCTGTGAGAACTGAAAGTGGACCTCCTCTTCCCCGGTGAACTCTGGAACTCCCTCCCCAAGGTCAGCCAGGGACGGCGGTCGTGTTCACTGGAAGCTTCAGCCATCAGGGACAAAGTGAACACAAGGAAAGGAGGGAAACTGCCCGGCTTCTCCACCGCAGGCATTTTACACACAAAAGACTACCGACTCACTCTCTTTAAAAAGTGAGTTTAGCGATGTTACAGGGGATGTGTAGATAGCATTTGTACAGGAGGGGGAAAAACCTTACTGGAACTAATAAGTGAACTTGGCAGGAATTACAGGGCTCACGAATAATGTACAGAACTTAATTTTGTTCTAGATATGCTAATATAGTTTAAAGCAGAATTTGACAGGAATTTAGGAGAAAATATGCAGACTTACAGTGGCAGGAGAAAAGTTCAACATGCTTTTCAAGCAGGCCAAAAATTAGTAAGAATATAGATATGCATTATCAGCTTATTGTAAAATAATAATATATAATAATTGTAAAATAATACACACCCTCCTCGTTACATGCAGAATCGTCCCTCTTTCGCAAATGCGCCTTGGACCTTTAAAAAGAACTGTATGCTCAATCATAAGGCTGATTTTACAGATTCCCAAGGATGTGTGTCTTGTAGACAACTCTTAGAAACTCACTCTGCCACGGAGTCAATTCAGCTGCTACCCTGTAGGGCAGAGTAGACCCATTTCTGGGTTTCTGAGACGGTCACTTTGCTGGAGTGGAAAGCCCAGTCTTTCTCCCTGGGAGCTGCTGGTGGTTTCAAACTGCGGACCGTGCAGGCTGCAGCCCAGTGAATAGCCACTACACCACTAGGCCTCCTTCATATTAGAAAGGAAGGTTTACTATAGACTAAACCAATTTATGAAGTTTGCAAGAGAGCGGTAGAAAGCGAAATCAAGTAGAAGGTGGGAACTTGAAGGATGAGAGCAAAGTTTAATAAAACAGAACAAGCAAAAGAGTTAACAATCAAAATGGTTTTAAAATAAAAATTTAAAGATGATAACAAGATTGGCATCTTGGCAAGATTGATGAAGGACAAAAACTTTGAGATGGGACAAAGAAGCAATGTGAGGAATTCAAGAGTGCCATTGCCAGCAGTGCCGGGGTGTTGTGAGTGCCTTCATAGGGGTCCACTTATTGAAGGCAGATGGTCCATACCATCTTTTACGATATCTACGTTGTATAGTTGAGGTGAGAAGAAACAAAGTACTCAGATATTTATTAAAGAAATGGAGTCAAACGTTAAAGCGCTTTCTTCCCAGGACGGTGGTGGTACCGGTGGTTTTCCCAACAGGTTCTGCCAGACATTCAAGGAATAAGTCACCCCAGTCTTGCCCAGGGGCTCCCAGAGCACGGGAAGCGTGGGAACACACCCAGCCCCTTTACGAGCCCGGCCTACTCATGGTGCCAAGACATAGCAAGGAAGTGCAGGCGCAGACGCTTGCAGGCCACACTCACTCTGGAGCATGCTGTCAACACCATAAGCAAAAGATCAGCAAACTTAGTCCAGGAATAAATTTAAGAAGATAATACAGCTGATCCAATTTCACTTCATCACAAGAATTCAAGGTTGGTTAAACATCAGAAACTATATTGAGGGATTTTGCCAGCTTAAAAAGGAAACCGTGGATCTTAATGGCTGCAGGGGAAAAAGTATTGATTTTAAAAAGTAATAAATCCACTCTTAATACTAAAACCAAATTAGGATTGATTAACAAAACTTGGTTCTGCCAAGTCGATTCTGACTCACAGAGCGGAACTGATCCTACAGGGTGTGCCGGGCCAAGCTCTTTATCTCGGCAGCACATGGCCAGGTGTTTTTCTCAGCAGTCACGCTGGCAACCTTTGAGCCACCAGGGCTCCCTAATGAACAAATAACAGTCAAGCTCAGGGACTTTCCATAAAGCCCGTGACAGCTGTTTAGCAACCGCTAAAGTCCTGCTGTGCAGTGCCACCACAGCCCCTTTGTCAAAGTTTGTCACCACCCAGACAGAGCCAGCTCAGCTCCCCTTCAGCAAAATCGCACGCACGCACGCGCGCCGGGAGTGCTCACTAGTCAGCCTTGGTCTCTCTGCACCTGCCTGTTATGGATCTTTCATACACCCGGGGTCACGCACCCGCCGCCTGTCTGCGTACCCTCTTAAGTAGACGGCACATTCATTCACCCGCTAGGATTCTGTCTCACCGGCCTTGTTGCCTTTCCCCACCGCCTTCTATTCCTTGAACTCAGAACTGCCCTTTCCCGTGCCTTCTTCCTTGGGTTTTTAGAAAATTGTCTGCTGGCTTTCAAATGTCTGCGTTTCTGGTAGGGAAAAGCAAACGCACAAAACATAAAGGCATGACAAGGCGAGCCTGGGTCCTGTCTCCGGGAGTTGTCCTGACGGCCATGCCGGCCTGTCCCTGCCACACAGCCTCCTGGAACTAGGACCCCAGGCAGGGCTGAGCCGCGCCGGGTTGGTTGCTTTGTTGCGAGGAGGGATTCTCACCCACAGCGATGCTGTAAGAAGGACCCATGGGGTTGGGAGGCCGTCTTTTCAGAAACAGACCGCCAGGTCTTTCTCCCATGGAGTGGCTGGGTGGGTTCGAACTGCCAACCTTTCGTTTCACGTCTTCATGGCTGCAGAGCACTTGACTACGTACGGATGAGGAAGTGTAGTCACAGAGGGCCCAGGGACCTTTCTGAGGTGACACAGCTACCAAGTACGGGAGAGCTTTGTCACCTCTGAGCCTCCTGTGTTGCTCCTTCCTGCCCCCAAGTGCCATTTGTCCCCACGACCAGCCTGTGCCGAGCGCCCACACTGCAGGACCTTGCTTCAGCACCCAACCTCCCCATTCGTTGCCACAGCACCCTGAGCACATGAGCATGGTCGCTTTGCCGAGGAGAGCACCGAGGCTCAAGAGGGCAGGAAAGGCAGGGCCAGACGACGTGCAGGCTTTCGAGGTGGGCGGTTTGTCTAGCAGGCTCTGGTTTTGTTGTTGACGATGTGCCCAGCAGAACAAAGATTCTCACCGCCACTGAGGCGATGTCGGCTCATTGTAACCCTATAGAACTTCCCTCTCTGGGTTACCGTGGCTGTAACTCCTTCATAGAAGTAGAAAGCTTCACTTCCCCCCACCCCCACCCATGGAGTAGCTGGTGGGCTTGAACTGCTGACCTCACGCTTAGCATACCCCATAGTGCCACCCAAACCCAAACGAAGCTCGCTGCCGTTGAGTCGATTCAGACTCACGGCAACTCTGTGGCAGGGCAGGACTGCCGCAGTGTGTTTCCGAGACCGTAACTCTTTACAGGAGCAGAATGAGTGGCTGGTGGCTTCAAACTGCTGACCTCACAGTTAGCAGCCCACCTTGTAATCACTATGCCACCAGGGCGCCTTTTAAGAGAATCCTTTTTCCAAAAATCAAACTCGCTGCTACCGAGTCCATTCCTACTCACGGTGACCCATAGGGCAGGGTAGAGCTGCCCTTGTAATTTTCCAAGACTAATTCTTTACAGGGGTCGAAAGCCTCCTCTTTCTCCCACAGAGAGGCTGGTAGATTTGAACTACTGACTTTGTGGTTAGCATTGCAACTTGTAAACCCTACACCACCAAGGTTTGTTGAAGAAAACTGTGTATGAAAATGGACATGTGAAATTATAGTTGCTTTTGAAGAAAGTAAATTTATATGCCAAACTCCAAAGTTTTTGACGGAAAAGAGGATTTGAGAAACATCTAGCTGGGACAAGCAACATTAGCGTGCAACATACAGTCTTGGGCCTGGAGGTGAGCATGGAAACAGGTGTGGGAGGCTTTGCTGGCCCAGGGGTGCTTGTCCGAGGGCTGGGTGTCCAGTGAGTGCTACTTTTGGAGTCAGGCCTGTGGGACTGAGGCCTGGGCTCGCCCCTCACTGTGCGCTTCTGGGGAGCAGTCACCCATCTCCCCCAGGAACCCGGCTGCTGCTTCTCACACAAGGCACGTGTGTGCAGTGTGTGTGAATGAAGTGTTAGCCCTTGTTCCCAGCCGCTGGTGCTGGCCCCCAGGTGCACGGAGGGCAGTCCAGTGTCCTGGTGTCCTGAGGCACCGCTGGCGCTGTGGAGAATGGCACCGTCCTGGAGGATTTTCCCAGCACCCTTGTGCTCCATGCTGCAGACAGGTGGGGCGCAGGGTATACCCCTCTGTGATGGGGTGCCAGGATGGCCGCCAGCCAGGGCTTGCTCAGAGCATGTAAGCCCAACTAGGCTGCACATAATTTCTACCAGGAGGTGTGCTGAGTTTGTTGTAATAGATACTGAAATACAAAAAAACCTTGTTTCTCAAAACCAGACACTGTCATCCAGTCTATGTGGATTCATAGTGACCATATACGATGGTGTAGACTTAACTCTTCAGAGGGCTGGAAAGGCTCATCTGATTGTGGACCTTGTGGTGAGCGGTGAGCAGCCCAGCACCCACCCACTACACTACCAGGACGCAGCATACCTTCAGGTTTCTCTCCCACAGGCTGCTAGCTGGCTCAACCCAGTGAGTTAATTTTCCCGAGAGCTTCAGTGCATTAGACTAAATTGCTACTTCTCTCCTTTTCTTTGTAGCCAAACCGTTCACGCAGCTGGTGAAGGAGATGCAGCTGCACCGAGAAGACTTTGAAATAATTAAAGTGATTGGAAGAGGGGCATTTGGTGAGGTAAGAAGGCTGTCATTCGTACAGTTTGGCCCGAATGTCCATCCAAACAGCAGCACCTCCCAGTTACACCTCTTCCTCCCGGCCAACGGGACTGGTTCCAGAGACAATCGGGAACCTGTGAAAATGGAGGGTGATTACAGCTCATCAGCACACCCACCGGAGAATGGCTACAGCCTTACTAACTGCCAGACTGCCGGAATCATGGCCCAGCCCAGTTGGCACATAGCTTTCATCACCACTGCCAGCCTTACTGTCCCCTCACAGCGTGGCGTTTGTTAGTGCCGGGCATGCGTCATGAACGCACAGCATAGTTGGACTGTAGACTTTTTACTACAGTCTCAATGTGAGATGCTGGCTGGTGCGACAGGTGGTCACGCGAGGTGGTGACGGTGGTGGCAGGTGCTGTCGAGTCAGGTTCTGAACAACAGAATGAAACACTCGGTCCTGGGCCATCCTCCTGACCCATGTTCAGTCTGCGCCCATTGTCGCAGCCTCTGTGTCAGCTCATGTTGTAGAGCATTTTCCTGTTTTCCCACTCACCCTCTCTTGTATCAGGCATGATCTCCTCTGGGGTCTGGTCCTTCCCGACAACACGCCCGAATCCGTGAGACAGTGTCAGCCTCACTCATTCTGGTTGTACTTCTTCTGAGACAGGTTTGCTCATTCTCCCAGCAGTTCACGGTGTAGGGTTCTGTCATTCGGCATTTGGGATGTTGTAATGAATGATGTCAACTGACAAATCCTTGGTGAACAAAATCTGGAAGAATCAGAAGCAGGAAAGTAGCAGCCATTTGTGGTGGGTGACTTACCTGAGGAACCGTTTAGACCACACAGGGGTTCTCTGAGAAGGGTGTTTGTTAGAGGAAGACTTGGCAGGCACTTCCCGAGACGTTCGAGTCCTGGCCCCGGCCCCGGCCCCGTGTGTGGTTTGCTGCGCACAGGTCAGGCTTGCTGGTACCAGGAAGGGCAGGTGCTTCATGATGGGCCTTTTTCTCCAAGGACACTCGGGTATGGTGTCGTTGGGGAGGGGCGGTGGGTGGTGGAGTCTGAACTGAGAAGAGGTGCCTGGGAGGCCATGGAGTGGGCCTCCTTCCAAGGCTCAGCCTCTATTCCCTGTGCCCCCCCACCACCACCCATGGCCATCCCACCAGGGTCCAAGAAGGCTCTCGCAGTCACTTTAAGCACATTGCTTTCCCACGTGAGGTCATGAGTTAACGTGGACACCCGTGGGAAGACCTTGTGAGACTTCACGTCGACTCACCCTCTTTGTTGCTGCTGGCTGCAGCTAGAGGAGGTGAGCGGCTGCAGCAGCCTCCTGAGCCCCCAGACATGCTCTCTGTCTCACCTGTCTACACCCTACCTGTGTCCCTGGGCTTTCAAACCATTTCCTCAGGACGGAACTCACTGTGTCATTAGAGTCGAGTCTGACTCACAGCAACCCCGTAAGACAGAGCAGAATGGCCCCTGTGGGTTTCCGAGCCTCTCGCTTTATGGGCGTAGAAAGCCTCACCTTTCCCCTGCAGAGCGGCTGGTTTCAAACGGCTCACCTTATGGTTAGCAGCCCAGCTCGTCACACACTACACCACTGGGCTCCTTGAAAGCCCTTTGGGGGGGAGTCGTGAACCCAGAGAGCTGCTTTCTCTTGTAAAACCTCACAGCCTTGTGGAACTGCGGGCGGATTAAGTGGCTCGAGCCTGCATGTAGGTTTGCCGCGGGCTCTCAGGCTAGAGAGCTGTGCACCTGAGTACTGACATCGCTCCCAACAATTTATTGACGACTCTTCGGTCTGTGTTCGCAGCAGATGCCCTGGCTCTGCCCGACAGCGAACCTGAGGGCTGCCCTGTGAAGTGGCCTGAAGGTGTCAGGTGCGGCCAAGGCAGCTCACTGACTGCCGAAATGAAAGAAGGCCATCTTATGCCTCAGCCTCAAACGTCTGGTGGCCCTTGGCTGAGACCCCGCAGCCACACTCCCTGCAGGCCTTTAGTGGGACACACGGAAAGGAAATTCTCCTTGGAAAAAGCCTAGACACCGTGACTACGTGGGGCCCACTGCACCGAGCCTCATCTCTTCCCTGGAGGCAGCCCTGCCCACCTTCGATGGAGTCCCACCGAGGCCTGGCATGCCTCCACATCATGTGCCGACTCCCCGTGCCCCCTGCTTTCAGAATGTTCCCATGGGTCTCCCGGAGGTCTCCGAGAAGCACCTGCTGTCGCTGTCACCAGGGGGTTGAGCCGTGTCCTCTCCGGTGGCAGCTTGCAGAACCCCAGCCAAGCTGTTTTCCTCAGCTCCTTGTGAGCTAGGAGGGCTGGGGACTTAATTTTCAATTGCTGAGCTGTAATTACACATAAGACACAGAGTACAATGTGATGGGTTTTGACAAATGTCTGCACCGGTGTGACCAGCTCCCCGTATCACCCAAGAAGGCCCCTTCCTGTTCATTTCCCGGCACCCTGCCTGTCAGTGCTCCTCCCGGCTGCAGGCGGCCACTCTGAGTCCGTCAGCAGGAGCTCCTAGCGAGAGGGAGGAAGAGTCCCACACAGAACCAGGGCCCTCTGAGCAGCAGGAGGGGCTGGATAAGGTCTTTCTTCAGAGAGAGTGAAGCTAAGGCCCAGCGGTAACCCCAGAGCCAGCCCAGGGTGTGTGCTTTCTGACGGCAGTCTCTACCAGGAGCTGTGCCAGGCCCTTGGGGCCACACCGCCCAGACCGGGCCCAGCCTGGGCAACACAGCCGAAGATGCTAGAAGGTGGATTGTAAAGGGGCTGGTGGAGAGGCAGGAGAGAGATGACTTGTTAGAGGTAAAAAGAACGAGAGAAATAAGTGTGGCCCCCCCAAAAAAGTTTGTGGCTATTTTTAGCAATCTTCTTTGCCAACAAGGAACTTGCTTCAAAACTCGGTTTTTTACGAATTTCAAAGAAAACACTGACCACCTCCCGAGCTTCTTCCAAATCTGTATCAACATGTCCTCACCGCGCCTGCCGGGCGCCTGTCCAGTTCCTCCTGCCCAGGAGCCTCGTGGGTCCCCAACCTGCACCATCTGAGAGTCAGCCCCCTTCACCAGCACCCTCCTGAGCCCCGAGGCCTGGGCCACACACCCCCAACCCTGCCGGCTGCTTCCATCCCTCACCCCTTCACGGCAGGGTGCCTGTTTGTGCTCAGGCCCCTCTACCCCTCACCCCTGCAACAGACAGGCAGGCTGCCAGAAGCTGGGCGTCCAGAGCTGTGACCAGTGCTGCTGCCGTCTGTGCCCAGATCTGTGCCTGTTCACAACTTCTCGGTCTTGGAAAGCACGGAGCACCTACCCCAGCACCCAGCCCCTGCTCCTTACAGAACAGGGGGCTGGGTTTTTATCATCAAGGGCCACCATTGTGTGGTTGTTTCTCGATGCCCAGGCTGGGAAGGGAAGCACGTGGGCTGTGGTTCTGTGTCCAGACCAGAGTGGGTTACACTCCAGAGTTTTGACACACACACCCCTCCCCTCACCAAGGGGACAGCCTGGCGGGGAGGGAGGGCATGTCTCGCTCTTTTTCCTGTCCTCCATTATGGAGATCAGCCAAGAAGCTGCTCGACCACGGCCACCCCTCCCAGGGCTCACCGAGGTGCCGCAGGTCTGGTGGCGGCCAGGGTCCCATAACTCACACCCAGCAGTGTAGCCAATTCCTAAGCAGGGGCTGGAGCCCACCCTGTTCCACATTCCTGCCAAGTCTCCTAGAATCTTTGAAGTAACTGAAACTATTTGGAAACAATGTAACGTTTCCAGAACTCTGCATGAGCAGCAGGATTCAGAGAACTGGGCTATCCTTATCCAGCTTCTGCCGGTTAACATTTCGTCCCCTTTGCTTTATCTTGTGTCCCCCACCCGCTTTCCTTCCTCTCATCCCCTCTCCCCTCCTCTGCTGGGTAATTTCTTTCAACCACTGAGAATAAGTCGCCTGCGTTGTATCTGTTTTCTAAGAATAGGGATGGGTGGCACGTGACCACGGCTCAGTCATCAGCGCTAAGGCATTTAAAATGGACAGGAGGCGCTTTATCTAATCCGCCCTCCCTGGACCAGTTCTGTTCACTGCTCAACTGCATCTTCATGTCGGTTGGCTCTCGATTCCCCCCAGTGCAGCCTCTGGCCTGCAATCTGGTCTCACCTTCAGTGGGCATATCCTGGGCTCACTGGATGTGTGCAGGATCACCAGCTGTCCCTGAAACAAGACTGAGATCGTGGCCAAGCAGAAGTTTCTAGAAAGCCAAACAAGATTCTCCACGACACGTCTGTGTTAGCACTTGAGCTAGCATAGTGCCCAGGTCTGGAGGCCAGACATTCTTCCCGCCACCCACTCTGACAGCCGTCCTCGTCCATGTCCTCTGGCACAGTCTGGGCCCTGGTCGGCATCTCCTGGAAGTGTGGCTTGTTCCCAGCAGAGGTGGAAAGTTCCAGGCCCCTTTGCAGTGGGATTGGAATCAGGATGAGTTTGTCGTCTTCTGGATTTTGGCGTTTTCCTTAAAGCTTGTCAGCTCTGCGATTCCTCTTAAGTTAGACGGTTCCAGGAGGAAGTGCTTTGCGCCCGAGTTTATATGGGATTGCTCGTCCATCTGGGGATAGCGAATCCCAGGAAGAAACAGACGCTGCTAAGTGGGAGAAAAGGGTGTTCGGAAGCATGTGCCCCACAGTTCCCTTTCCTTGTCCACTTTATCCAGGCGCTCCGTTCAGAGTGGTGGTAAGCTAGGTTCTCAGCTTCCAGCACCGTGGCTGACAAACAGCAACCTGGGTGTGAGGAGACGACCCACCACACAGGCCACGGGGTGACTGGTGAGGGAGCACGGCTGGGCAGGCACATGCTTTTGAAGGCTCTGGGGTCAGCACAGGCCCATTAAAACTAGCGGTGACTTGTGTGCACGGAGTTGTGAGGATGGAGGTCATTGAGTTACTCCCAGGGCAGAGAATGTGTTGTGGGCTGGTGCACATGCTGCCACACACAGTGGAAGTGGCCTGGGGGTGTGGGAAGGCCAGGAGGTCTTTGTGGGAGAGGTGGCCTTTGGACTATACCTGGAGGACCTACAGCTGGACAGCTCACCTGCTGAGTGCCAGCTAGCTTTATTCTAAGGACCTTGAATGTGCCGTCTCCCTCGATCCCCACAGGCAGGTCACAAGGGCACCACGGCTCTGCCCCCATAGTACAGTTGTGGAAATGGAGGTGCAATAAGTGAGTTTGCCCAAGGTTACACTCAAGAGTTCACGTGGCTAATCACTGCCCGTGAAACCCAGCCAGCCGATGCAGACATGCCGCCTGCCCGGGGTGGAGGGACTGGTCGTTGGAGCGGGCGAGGGCTGCCAAGCTGCACTGTGGCTGAGGGGAAGGGCGGCTCATCATGGTGGTGGGAATGCTGCCTTCTTCTCCCCAGCTACGAAGATGTGACTTTTGTTTCTGTTGAGAGAGTCTTTGTTAAACTAGTGTGTCTATTCCAGGTTGCTGTTGTGAAAATGAAGAACACCGAGCGAATTTACGCCATGAAAATCCTCAACAAGTGGGAGATGCTTAAAAGAGCAGAGGTCAGTATGGAGAAACACCCCCGCCCCACCCCTGAGCAACAGCAAGGTGAAATGGGGTTCCTGTGACACCGCTGGTCTCTGAAGTTTCCGAGCGAGCCCGTGTGGCCCGCGCGGCAGGGTGGGGTTGGGGTGGGGGGTGGGGGTCTCGGTGTCCGAGTCCTTCGTTCATTTTCCAGCTGCTCCTCGGCTCACCCTGCGGTCTGGGCTGGGGGTGTTTACTGAAAGGCAAGTTAAGATCTTCATGGAACTTTTAGGTATTTTTAGCATTCCGGCTCCATATGCAAAGGGATTATTGGATTGGAGCATGCTTTTGGATCAGCAATGGTGTTGGGGCTGGTGGCGCAATGGGTCAGGTGCGGGGAAAGGTCAGTGGGAGGCAGGTGAGGCGGTCTACTTCCGTGCAGGGCAGGGACTCCGAGGGCAGGTGGACTCTGTCCTCAGGGCCTGCGTGAGTCTGCATTGACTGCCGGCAGCGCACTCTGTTTTGTTTGGGCCCTTAGAGGCGCTGCCATCAAGCTGATACCATAGGACAAGGTAGAACTGCCCCGTGGGTTTCCAAGACTGTCACTCATTAGAGGAGTATAATGCCTCGTCTTTCTGTTGAGAAGCACCTGGTGAGTTTGAACTGCCAACCTTATCGTTAGCAACCCAGCACGTAACCACTGTGCCCCCAGGGCTTCCTTTTCCTCCTGTAGTAGGCTTACTGTAAGCACTACATTCCACAATGTGGGCTCTAAAGCTTTCCTTTGCAAGCTTCACCACCTACAGTAAAAAGAGGAGGAGAGTAGATACGTTGTAAGCAGTGAAAGTTCACAACTTGTAGACCAGACTGGGGTCTGTCCCCTACCCCCACCCCCATTTCATTTATTTGTTTATTGTGTGGTGAAGATACGTAGACCAGATCCTTGACCAATCTGATCCGTGGACATCTTGGAGGGCGGGCTGGCATCCCTACCTTCTCGCTGTCCTTTCCCTGTGTCCCACGTCGTGATCATGCTCAAGTACACTCCCCGCCTCCTCCCACCTGCTGATGGTTCCATCTCTTTTCTGTTTCATGTAAGTGAGGTTTCACGAGTCGCATGATGTGCAGCTGGCGGCTGTGCCCTGCACCGTGTTCAGCACCCGGCCCTGTGTGGCATGGATTTGAGATGGCATTTCTCTTTGGTCTTTGTTCATGTCATTTCTTTATTGAGCTCATTAAAACCGCGACTAAAGCTTTTCTGTCCACTTTTTGGGAAAAATGAAACTAGTGGTCAATGTGTAGATTCCTGACTGTGTGTCGCCCTGCTGCTAATACCACTCTAAGGGTGGTTCTGACTCGGAAAGGTGGTAGATAAAGCTTGAGAATGGAGTAGGGCGACTTCTCTCATGGACACAGGGCTGCTAGTGTGAGACTAGCTCTGAGCGGCCAGCCCTGAATGGCTGGGGCTCAGCTGCTCCATCATCCTGGGAGTGTCCTGGAGCATGGGGTGTGGCACACCAACACCAGCTCCTTTTTTATATAGACACAGGTATCACTGTGTGTGTACTCAAAAGAGCCGGAAGCTTTTTTAAAGCTATGTATATAAATTTGTTTAAAAAACAACCTTATCACCTTCAAGGTACTCTCCATTACACTTCATACACTTGTCTGCGATTCCGTTCTTGGAAACATTTTTCAAGCTTATCTGTTTGGATGGCTGACAGCACTTCCCTCATTTTTTTCTTCACCTCTTCTACATCATCAAATTGCTGTCTTTTCTTGTTCCTCTGCATTGGCAGAAACAAAAAAGTTACACGGAGCGAGGTCAGGTGAGTCAGGTGTGTGGGGCAAGAGAGGCATGCTGTTTTTGCCAAAAACTAGCGCACTGAGATGGCTGGGCGAGGTGAAGATGGCATCTTCCATGGGCTTGATTGGTGTTTGCTTTTGGTCTCGTAGTAATAGCACTGTGTCTTGTCACCAGTAATGACCTTGGGGAAAAGGTCTGGGTCAATTCAGAGCTGTTCTTTCAAAGCACAGCATGTTTCCAGTCCACGCTCTTTTTGCTGGTCAGTCAGAACCCGAGGCACACATTCCACATCGACCCTTCTCATTCCCAAATATTCCGTCAAAATTTGCTGAACTGACCTCCAGGATCGTTCAGGTGACTGCCCCATCTCTTCAGTGGCCCGTCGACGTCGGTCTTCAAGACATGTGCACGGATTTTGTCCACGTTTTGTCCATTCGGAAGGGACGCATCCAGAACGAGATTTGTCATCAGTCGACATTTCACCTGTTTTGAAACGAGGAAGCCACGCTTACACTCGAGTTTCCCCATAGCTCTGTCCTCGGGTGTTCAGCATCACAACAGTTTCTGCAGCATTTTTCCTGAGCAGGAAACAAAATTTCAAGACCACATGCTGTTCTTTGAAACTATAAAAAATGAGGTTTGAGTGAAACTTTTTACGAAAAAATTCAGTGACCCGAGAGAATCTTCCAAGTGATATACTGGGTGTGCTAGTGCGGAAAATTGCATACTATTAAAGCTCTGCCCTGCAGAGCCTTTTTCTAGGCGGTGGTTGGTTGTTGTTTTTTGGGGGGGTGTCCCCTCATATATATGCATGCACACAGCATATCCAAACCTGTACAGATGAGAGCAAGTTAAAAAGTATAGCTACTGGGCACCAACCAGTTCCTACCAGCACTGGTGTTTGTTCCAAACGAAATGTGTCAACGCCACACGTGGCTCAAATCAGTGGGAGGCTGTGGACCAGATCTCGTGGTAACATAGAGTTAGGGGTCACACAAAAGGTCCAGTCGGAATGGTGGCTCCTGAGGGTCTGTTACATTCGGGGCAGAAAAGCCCACTCAGAAGCCATGTCTGGGGACCCAGAGGGGTCGGCCGGCTTGCGAGATCCTCTTTCCTAGAAAGAACTTGTAAGACGGTGGGAAACGGCACTGGGGAGAGAAGGAGTTTTCCCATCATGGCAGTGCACTTGCTCGATCTCTGGGAGTAGACCTGATCTTGCCCCTTCAGACTTTGTGTTTCCAGAGCTTCAGGACTCTTTCAATGGAGCGCGGGCTGGGTCCTGGGTGCTGTGTGGACATGGTGTAAATCAGAGAGCGTGCCGCTCTTCAGGGGAGCCTTACCCCCACTGCCTCGTGTCAGGATCTCCAGAACCACATCTTCCCCAGAGCTCATGGCCTCAGCTTTCTCCTGGGAGCTGCAGCAGGGTTCGAATTGCTAGCCTTGTGGTTAGTGCCATGATACCTGTGGTCTTAGAGATGGTAGAACCAGGACACATCTGGATGGTTTCCAAACGGTAGAAAAATCAGTGGTTACAAATTCCCCGAGAGACACAAACGGACCAAATTCGGTGCAGTGTGCCCCCCGTGCCTTCCCTTTGCCATCTCCCATAGCTTTGCCAGCGCCAAGCACGCTGTGTTGTGTCCTGCACGCAGAGGAGTGCTGCTATAGTCCTGCCCAAGACTCGGTGACTTTCATGCACAGACGTAACAGCCCGCGCTTGCTCTGTCAAAGACACCTCAAAGCTTGCCATTCCCGGGTGCACTGGCCATGGGCCTGCGTAGGAGGGCCCTGTTACGTCTGCACGTCACTGCGGTGGCAGTGGAGTGTGGTTTGAAACTAGCTGGCTCTGATCAGTAAAGAGGCAGCCGTCTTGCCTTGCTGGGCCTGGGGCTGCCACACTGTGGGGAGAGACGGGCAGCTGTGGGCAGGGCCTCCTCCTTGAGGAGGCCATTCTGGTGAGGGGAGGTCAGGTGATACTGGGGAGGCGGGCCAGTCTGTGGAGGGTGGACCCAAGGCCTTTTGGGAGAAAAGGGTACTGGGCAGCCCCAGGTGAGTGGGCTGCAGGGATGTGGGGAGGAGGGCTGGGCTGGGCCTTCTGGGACCAGCAGGTGAGGAGCAGGTCGGACCTGCTGCAGGTAGGCACAGCATCGCTCCCCTCCCTTCCCACAGACGGCGTGCTTCCGGGAGGAGCGTGACGTGCTGGTGAATGGCGACTGCCAATGGATCACGGCGCTGCACTACGCCTTCCAGGACGAGAACTACCTGGTAGGTGTGGGCACGGCAGGAGCCCAGCTTCCACCCTGGTTCTCTCCCAGAGATGGGTGGCCCACCAGGTAAAAGGCAGGGCTGGGCCCAGGAGGACCGAGGCTTGTGGAGTCTGGCACCAGTGGCCTGATAGTGTCTGCTCGAATGTCCTCCTTTTACAAAAGTCTCTTCCATCTGAATTGTGGTAGGGACTTGGACTGGGACGAGTGAAGGGGCACAGCGTGTTCCCGCAGCCGCGAGCCCCTGGAGGGCACTGGAGCCGGGAGCAGCTGTGGCTCATAGACGTGCGGGTGTTTAGCTTGTGGGCTCATGAGCCATCGCCAAGAAGGCTAGTTTTAGAAGCAGGAGAGATGTCTGGCCTCGGGAGCTGGTCCAAGGCCGAGTGCCGACGGGCCTTGTCGGGTCTGGCGGGGTGGGAGGGACCTGTGTGGACATCACAGGCCCACACCTCTGAAGTGAGGGCCAGGCTCTTGCTGCCCAGGGCCACCGTAGCTCAGGCCCAGCAGCTGACTTCACGATCACCTTGTCCTGTTGGGTCATCCCGTCAGCAAGGCCCCTTTTCTTTGTCCAGAAATCTTTTCCTCAAATGTTGAGGGGACCCTGGAAGTCTGGGGGCCAGGAGGAGGTCAGTCAGTTTGCCGTGAGCTCTGCGTCGTCGCACAGCGACCCTGCAGGACAGGGTAGAACCGCCCCTGTGGGATTCTGTGACTGTGACTCTATGGGAGTAGAAAGCCTCCCTTGGAGCGGCTGGCCTTGTTGCTATCGGCCCTCCATGTAAGCATGGTGCCACCAGGGTCCTCTAGGGTCCTCTCGCTGACACGACACAGGTTTCGGTGTGTGAGGCACACGGCTCCGCATTTTGACCTCCTGGGGGCCAGGGGCTCTGGTTTTGCCACTTTCCAAGCAGGTCCTGGGCAGAGAGGTTACATTGCTTGCCCAAAGGTGTTGCACAGTTTGGTGGGGGTGGGGATTGGGAAGCACATGGCCAGGCCTTGAGGCCTGTGCGGGGCCTGAAGCTGCCCGTCTCTCCCCCATGACCGCCTGCGCATGCCCCTTAGCACAAGCTTTCATGCCGGCCAACCCGCAGACCCGTCCATGTCATGAGGGGCTCAGACACCCAGGGGATGGACACGCGTCTGGTTTCTAGATCCATTTTTCTTCTACTCTCTGCAGCCCCCTCTTTGGTCTCTCAGCCTGGCATGTCATAAAACCAAACCTGCTCCTGTAGCAGTGACTAGAAGGGTGCCACCCTCCCCCTGAAACCACCCGTCACCCTAGCTGGCAGTCCAGAAACTAGCCCCGTCAGCCTGTCTCCAGGAGGCCCTTAGGCAGCCCCACAGAGCTGCTGGATGGGGAGACACCTGTGCGGATCCTTGCTGTCCACTCGATCTGGTCCGCCGCTCTTCTCGTTCCCCCTCAGCGGCCACGCGCCCTTGCTCCCCTCCTCCAGAAGGTCTCCAGTCTCCTTACACCCCGTCCTCCTGTCTGGAGCACTGCCACAGCCGCCGTGCCCCTGCTTGGCCCCTCCTGCCCCGAGTCTCCTGTCCAGGCTCCACAGAGAAGGAGGACTCGGCCAGCATCATTCTCTCTCTGCTGGAAGATGACCCCAGACCACTACCCAGCCAGCTGCAAGGCTCAGCTCTGCTGCCGGCTCCTTAAAGACGCTTCCAGGTCATCTGGGTCAGGCAGCCTCCCCGCACAGTCTTCTTCCTGATACTGAGTGCTCCCGGAGACAGCTGTCTTCAGTCTCGTGCTGCCTGGTGACCCCCTGGGCGTGAGCTAGCTCCTTAGGGTCAGTTCCTCCTACTCTGCCCATGTGAGTGTCTCTGTCCCCTGTGGGATGCCCAGGTACATTACTGAGCCGCTGAAGGAGCGGGTGGACATGGCTGAGTGCAGTGGTCTGACGGGGATTGTGCTGGCGTGTGGGGTCAGAGCTGGAACTTAGAGTTGGCTGGAAGAGCCGGGCAGCCAGGGGAGGGAGACTGGCCCTCGGGACAGTGTGAAGCAGAGAGACTGGGGCTTGAGGTGGGTCTCAAGCTGAGTCTGAAGCAGGATATGAAGGGTCTCCCGTGTCTGGCACAGGGTCCGGCCTCCATCTTTATACTGAAAGCAGTACGATGTGATGGGAGAGCGAGGTGCTAGTTGGACCTGGGGTCCTGGAAGCCAAAGTCAGGGTTCTGACCAGGGCAGAGGCCTCTGGAGGATTTGAAACCAGAGAACGACTGTCCTTACAGAGAGTGCCTGCGAGGTGGGCTCTCCTGGAAGGCAAGACTGGTGAGGAGGTTGTTTAGTTAGCTCAGGTGAGAGGGCTCGCTCCAAGTGCAGGCCGGTGGAATGTTCAGGACTAGTGACAGGCAGCGACTAGAGACGGAGGGGCTTGGGGAGAAAAAAGAAGGCTTCGGGGCTACACATGCTGGGGCGGGGCAGGGCCCAGGAGGAGCTGGTTCTGAGGAGCTGGGGCGTGGTCGGGCCGAGGAGACCGTGGGACGTCCCACGGAGCTGAGTGACAGGCCTCGAGGGGGGTGTGCTCTAACCAGGAGCAGGGAAGCTCCGCCTGTGTCTTCAGGAAGACCCAAGGCCTCTGGGACTCTCCTGTTCGCCCAGCGGAGTCGCGTTACTGGTGGTGCCACGGTGGGTTCCTCTGGTTCCTGCAGGCACCAAGAAGGTGTCTGCCCCCTGCAGCGCCCTCACATGGCTTGCTTACAAATCTCCCTGGCCTTCCTGCTGTTGCGTTGGTTTCTAGAGCAGATACCAAGAGCGTGGTGTCGGTTAGGCACGCAGTGGCCGCAGGGAGAAAAACAGACGTGATCTGTTGCCATGCCCATGCCCCTTTATAACTGCCCCGCTTCCCAAGACTGTCTCAGCATGGACGTCCGGCCTCCCGTGACTGAACAGCACACTTTCCCTCTCCCTTCCCCGTCTGCAGTACTTGGTCATGGATTACTACGTGGGTGGTGACTTACTGACCTTGCTCAGTAAGTTTGAAGACAAGCTTCCGGAAGACATGGCAAGGTTCTACATTGGTGAGATGGTGCTGGCCATCGAGTCCATCCATCGGCTTCATTATGTGCACAGGTAACCGGCGTCCCTCATCTCCATGGAAACCACGCTTCATGGCCTGAGATACTCCTCCTCTCTGAGCCCCTGGGCTCCCAGACACCGGGTTCAGGCTGTCTCCAAGTGCCTCACCGTCAGGATGACCGACACCCCCCTGCGCCCACAGCCTCCTTTAAACCTCCATCCTTGGTGCTGCCCGAGAGCAGCTGTCATTGTCACTGTGTGATGGCGTAGCTCTGGTCAGCGGAAGCCGCTTGCCTTATAATACATGACATTTGCTCTCCCCCAGCCAGTATCCCATCTGAGGAAGCTCCAGGGCCTGACCCCACTGTCCACTCTCCCAGCTCTGCCCCCACAGAGCCCACAGCCTGGGAACCCACCCAACACCCACAGGAGCGGGAGGGGGTTCAAGTCGAGGCGGGCGTAACAGCCCTGAGTGTTGGCAAGGGGGAAGCCGAGGCAGGTGGCCTGTGGTGACTGAGGGGGCCGCGTCTTCACGTACTTTCTCCTAAGGCCCAAAGTCTCAGGCTGGGGTCTGTTTCTTTCTTTTATTTTCTTTGGCTGAAAATAATTTTATATTAAAGAGTCTGAAGAAGCCGTCATTCTGTAGGGCTGGTGAATCATGAGCCCCTCTTTCTCTCACCAAGAGTGACCTTGTAAATCTTAGTGGTTTCTTCTGGTGCTTACCTACACACTGCCACACCCGTGTAAGCATGGCTTACACGCTGGTTTCCTATACATTTGTCTTGATGACGGTTTCAGTGTTCATGCTGCCATTGCACTCACAGACCATGAGCACCCCCCAACCCCACACACACACCAGCTCTCCCTCGGCCCACTCATACCCCCTCTCCTCAGACCCGCCCACTTACTCTCAGACTCACTGTCCTATCGCTCATCCTCCAGTTAGTAACTTAGTAACTTTTGGTTAATCCAGCATCCTGTCTATCATTTGGCTACATGACTATTACAAGTGAGCCTTTCAGGATACAAAAGCTAACATTTCTTATGTGAATGTTTGTTTTATCAGGAGTTCATACTGGTCTTTCCACCCTACCTTACCTTTTTGTGTAAGCCCACTGTCAGGGGTCGCTTCTGGCCCATAGGGACCCTGTAGGACAGAGTGGAGCTGCGCGCTCTGGTGTCCAAGGCTGTGAACCTTCACAGAAGCAGACTGCCCTGTCTCTCTGTTGCTCATGGCTTTGAGCTCCCGGCCCTCTGGTTGGCAGCCGGTGCTGTCAGTGCCACGCCCTCAGGATTTTACGCCTTCTGTATAGCTGCTCACACTGTGGCTGAAATGGGAAGGGGGCAACAAGAATTTTGTGGGAAAAACTTAATATTCTAATTCCATTTTCCCGCACATGCTTGAAGCCCCTCACTGTCAGACACTCCTAGTCGTTTCTTAGGCTCTCCCTGGTGGAACGCACCTCCCTCCCCGCTCCTTCGGACCCGCCGTCTGCTGTCTTTCCGGAGTTCCTTTCCAGGGAAAGATTCCCGCTCGGTCGGTCAGAACCCCACGTCTTCCTCAGCATTTTCTTCTGATTTGGCCACACACGTCTTCCAGGGGCTTCAGGAAAAAGGAAGTGTGAGGTCATCTTCTGAGGTCCTGCCTGTCTAAAAATGTTGTGATTGTCCCCACGGAAGAGGGCGGTGGTTTATACGCGGTGTGTAATTTCAGGTCGGCTGTTGTCTCCCCCTCAGGACTTGGAAGGCTTTGACCCCTGTCTTCCTTCCTCCAAGTCGCTGTTGTGGGCTCTGAGGCCGCTGGGGTTTCCGTGACTGCACTGCAGTCCGGTTGGCCTCTTGGGCATCTCTCTTCATCCCGGTGTTTTGGAGGCCCTCTGTCTGCCTGGGCCCCATCAGGACAGCCATGGCACCGTGGTTGACCAGGAAAACCAGTGTAAGGCCTCGTTCATGCTAACCGAGAGTGTTGTAATAAGGGATCCTCTGGCAGGGTATGAGAGAACCCTGAAGGGGCAGAGAGGAGGGCAGGCGGGCCGAGGTCTGGGTATTGGCGGGGAGGGAGGCACACCGTGGCCCCCGGATGGAGAGGCAGCTCTAATGCCTCTCGCCAGGCTTGCTGGCGTCCACCCCATAGTCCGACAGGAGAGCTGGTCCCAGGAAGGGCTCTGTTAGAGAAGCTCCAGATGGGGACCAATACACAAGAAAGCTGCTGGCCACCACACACTGCGGGACCAGGCCCAGGGGGGCCATCCTGCCGAGAGAGCGTGCCCTCCCCTACCTGTCCTGCTCTGTCTGACACAGTGGCCATTGGGCTACTTATCCCTTCAGCTCATGCTGGTACTTTGAGGCCTGGTACTCAGCCTTGGCCTCAACGGCTGCCTTCACTTCCTTTCTCTGACCCAATTTTCCTCCATCTCTTGTGCTTTTTTCATTTATTTCTGGGAAGGTTTCTCAACTCTTAGGTTTCATCTTGAAGCGTGGCTTACTCTGTAAAACGTCCAAGGCCTCTTTGTTTTTCTCTGAAGTTACAGAATGCAGAGCCTCCTGTGATTCGTACAGCTTCTCCCCCTTCTCTCATGGCCACCGCTTCTGCTGCCTGGACTGTCCGCTCCCGGTCTGCTATGTGTGAGCCTCCCTGGCTGGCCGTTGGGTTTCAGAGCAAGACACTGTGTGTCCTGCGAGGAGTTCTCAGGGAGCAGCCAGCCATGGACCTCTGACCCTTCTGTCTGGGGCTCCACCTTCTGTACCAGAGCCTCTCAGCACACTGCGTGGATCCTCCCTGTGGAGGGGCTGGCGTATGAAGACGGCTTCACCGCGGGGTGCCTCCCCAGCTGACAGGGCTGCGTGCATGGCCTTTTCTCCCTGTCACTCGCCCTTGCTGCGCTCAGGATCGCTCGCTCTCTGTCTCTGCTCTGACAGCTCTGGGCTCCCCCACTGCGGCAGCATGGCTGTGGCTCTAGCGGCACTCCCTCTTCACCTGGCCCCGCTGGGCACCTGCTTCTGTGCTCTGTGGACAGTGATGAGGCGAGGGCAATGCTGCCTGGCTCTGGCTCACAGCTGGCGGCCTGCGCTGCAGCTGACAGCCCTGCGGTGTGTCGTGTCCTGCCTCTCAAGCGCCTCGGGTGGCTGGCTCCTTTGGGGGTCACTGCCGCATGGGTCTGGTCCAGCATGCCTCATCCTTCACCATTTCCATCAGAGGCCGCCCCCCGCAGCCCTGGGCTGTGGGGAAGGTGCTCTAGCCTGGCGATGTGGATGAAGCCCCACTCTGGGGAGCACCCCTCCCACCCTCGGCCACCCCATGTTGGAGGAGCCCAAGGATGGCCCGGTCCCCTTCCCTTAGCTTCCCCAGGATCTCCCCGTTGGTCTCAGGCTGGAAGCCTCTTCCCCAGCCCCTCGGGAAGCAGCCCTCCCTGGGCCAGCCGGGCGGGTGCTGGGCTTGGCGTGGTTGCCACTGGGAGGTAACAGGAAAGCCCTCCGTCCGGCACGCCCCGGGCACCTTGACACTGCCTCTGTCCAGTCACGCTTTGCTGGGGACACTTCTCTTCCTCGCCTTGGACGGCGCTGTCTTCTTGAATGTGCTCCTACTGCAGGTGAGGAAGCCTGGGCCAGAGAGGCGGACACCGCCCCGCCCGCCCCCGCTCCATGCCCACCAACACGCAGTGCCTCCTTCACTGCCGGCTTTTCTCCTAGTCCAGTGGCGGTTTTCCCAGCACCGGGGGTTCTCTACAGGAGGCCCAGACCCCGTCTTCGTGGCTGCCTGCTGTCTCAGTCCCCAGGGGAGAAGCCTTGTCTGTCATTGTCTCCCGGGAAATTAACTGGACCACATTTTCCATGTGGCTGCTTCTTCTCCTATCTTTTCCCTAATTAGAAAGTTTTTCTTCTCGTTTCTTTAATTTGACTTTGCAGGGGTTTTCTGCTGTCATTGGACTTTGAGGCACATGAGGAGACATTAAACTGTCATTCAAAACCTCTTCTCCCCCAGACAGGTATGACTCAACTCAAGTGCTGAACGTCCCAGTCTAAAGCCGGTTCTGTTTCTCCTGGAAGGTTCCAGAGTGAGATTTTGCACGCAGCCAGCCCCCACCCCCACCTGTCTTAGGTGGGCACCTTGAGAGTGAGAGGGAGCCTCTTGGTCACTGTGGTCAGGATGGCCTTGCTGGTGCTTCAGCAGCCACAGGGTAGAGCCCAGGCCCTGGCAGCCCAGGCGCTGACTGCAGGCTTCAAGGGTCAGCCTGGCAGGAACCCTCAGAGCCTCCATCTGTGATGCCCCCGTGACCCGTGTTCCTTCCCCAGGTCAGGCAGGACCCCCAGATACCTCGGAACAGCTGCTGAGAAAGGCACCTTCCCTGTTTAGAGAGCAGGTGCACCTTTCAGAGAAGCACTCTTCAGAGAACAGAGCCGGACTTGGAGACTCATCCGTACAGACAGGAGGGGGAGGTGGCTGGGCAGCACTGTGCCCTTGAGGCTGAACCTGACCCCACACCAGACCTCCCTCAGCCCTGAAGCTTCCAGCAGGATGAGGCTCATCCCGGGGAGCAGGTGGAAGCCATGAGCGGTGTCCCCTGTGGCATGGGTGGTTGCGTCCTGCCTGGGCGCCTCCTTCTGATGTCGGGGTCGCTGTTGTGCCCCACCCCCCCTGAGCTGGGGACCACAGGTGCATGTGGCACAGGTGCAGCCTGCAGCCTGTCGGTCCCTCTCCTGAATGAAGCAGGGCCACTGCTGGCCGAGAGGGGCTGGGCCAGGAGGGCCTGGCAGTGACTCGCTCTCTCTTGAGGACAGGCCTCTGTGGTCCCCTTACCAGAAGCAGCCAGGTCCCTGCTGCATCTTGCCATTGTTACCAAACTGCTCAGGACGCCCCAGATGCCCTTCACGGGCATGCAGATGTCGGGGAAGAGAACATAGCAGGAAGGCCGATAAGGGGAGGAGAGCCTTCCTGGAGACCCACCCTGGTCTGTGCTCCCAGGTTAGCAGATATTCGAGTGACCCCAGGAAGATCCCTGTCTGAGAGGTTATCGACAGCCAGGTGCTCTTCCATCTTGAACGCTTGCTCCTTGCCCTGCCCTCCATCTCAGTACAAAACCAACCCTGCCAATGGCGGTCCTCTGCATTGCCCGACTCCTGTTCCCAAAGGAGTCCGGTGAAAAGACATGGTGTGGGGATGCTCCATTGTGTTCAGACCGGTGCAATAACCCCTGTGTTTAAATCCTGTCTGTCTTGGAACCTCACTGAACCTCCAAATAAATATATTCTGTTAGTGTTACTTCAAGGGGGTCATGCCCTTCATGACGTACATGTGTGTGACACAGCGGTATTGCAGTGGGGGCAGGGGCGGGGAGACAGTCATTCTGGGTTTGCATCCTGGGAGAGGTTTGTCCTTCTTTGTTCCTGCCTGTCCTCTCTTCTGTGAAGAAAGGCATGCAGACTACGTGGTCAGAGACTGTTAGATCCCCAAAGTCTGTGGGTTTGAGGGCCTCATTAGAGGCGCGTTGGGAATGTGCTGCCCTGTGCGGTGGAAGCGCCAGATGGGAGTCCCGTGGCGTGTGCTCCCTTCTCCCCAGCCGCGGGCCCCCCCTGCCCGCCACCCCCACCCCCAATTGCTGAGTCCGCTCCGATTCCACAAGACAGCAGAACTGATCTGTACTGCTTCCCAGCTGGGTTTCAACTCCTTACCTCCCGTGACACCAGGCCCTCTGATGACATGTGCAGAGCAGGCAGATCCGTGGTGGCCGCCAGTGGACCAGTGAGTGATTGCCTCCAGCTTGCCAGGGCAGGGGTTGGGAGGTGGTAGCTGAAGGACATAGGCTTCTCTGGGAGGTGATGAAGATGTTCTGGAATTGGCTCTGGTCTGTGACTGTCCTGAAACCATGGAATGCTTCGCTTCAGCTGTGAGCTGTGTGAGTCAGCATCGTTACATCGAGCCCACACGGTGGAGTCAGTGCCGACTCAGCGTGACCATATAGGACAGCAGAGCTGCCCCCTAGGGTGTTGAACCAGGGCTGCCACCTTGACGGAAGCAGGTCACTCCCCTTCTCTCGGGGAAGGAGTGTCGTTGTGTCCAAACTGCTGGATTTTCAGCTCGCTGCCACGGCCACGGTGCCTTGAGGGCAGTGCAGCTGTCCCTAGGAAACCCTGTGGGTGCCTGCTGTTTGTCAGGGCACCCAGGGTGCCTCTTCAGTCTTCCAGATAGCCTCTTTTCTGAGGAAATCCGGAAGAGCCTTCCTTTCTCCAAAACTGGCAGCGGTTATGGTAGAAGGGAACCGTGTGCTCACTCTGTACGGAAGTTTGTTCCTTTGAAATGAACTTAGATTGAGATTCATTAGCTCTATGGAGCAGACAGTTCGGTGAAAAGAGGAATTTTACTGGTGATAATACAGTCAGCAATGGTTTTAATGTGTGTGTGTCTGTCTGTCTGTCTGTCTCAAACTTGGGGCAGGTTCCTTGGCTTCTCATTTGCCGTTTGTTGGATGCCGGTAATGTGTCAGACTGTGGTGACGTTGCCCCGCCCGCCTTCCCCTGGCTCCTTTCCTTCATCTGCTCATGCGCCCCTCCCTCATAGTACAGTCGCCGCTCAGCCCCTCGTCTCGCTCTTCAGAGCGCTCCCTGGAAGGTGCCCCACAGGCAGCCCCGCCTCCGTTAACGGGACTATCCATAACGAGGACTGACTGACACCTTGGCTAGTTTGCAGGCTCTGGGCACCATGGTGGGCAGTGTTGTAAGACGCAGGCCAAGAGCATGCCTGGCACAGAGATGGTGCTCAGTGACGGGCCAGGCGGGGAGTTGGGGGGGGGAACTAGGTGACTTGGGGTAGCTGGGGACCCGCGAGTTCCTGACACGCAGCGGGAGGTGGAGGTGGGGTCCCTGCCAGAGCAGACCAGGTCACTGTGTGAAGTTCAAGCTCTCTTCTGGGCTGTCCTAGCTATTAACACAGTGGGAGTCGCCCTGCCTCGGCTGCTCCACCACTAACTGCGGGCTTTGACTTCCCTAATGTGTTGCACGGAAATGGTTAATTTGTGTATTTATTTTACTAACAGAGACATTAAACCTGACAATGTCCTTTTGGACGTGAATGGTCACATTCGCCTGGCCGACTTTGGATCATGTTTGAAGATGAATGATGATGGAACTGTATGTATTTTTGTTGGAAGTTTTTTCGTTTTGTTTGCTTCCCACTTGGTTTGGGGCTTTGCTTGCAATAACAATGGCCTTAAACATTTCGTTTGAAGTACAGTTAACCGTGTTTATTGCTAACGTGAATGAAAATGATGAATCTGTTGACCAGACAGCTGGCATCTTTTGTTAGGGGGATTAGTTTCTGACGCTTTTAAAATTCCTCCAGTGCCTCTTACGTTCACAGTAGTGACACACGTGCCTTCTAACACGGCCAGAGCCCAGGCTTCCTCGCCCCGGGCAGCATAGAGCACCCGACCCCTGTGAGTGAGGCAGCTTCCTCCAAGCCCCCGCCAGCCCCCACCAGCAGGTGGGCAGTGACAGATGAGAAGCGGTGACTCCCTGTCCGTGTCGTCTCCCTCTGGGTGTTGGCCTGTACACCCGGAGCATGACGAGGGCCGCTGACCCGCCCACAGTAAAGTCCGAGGACGGCCCCATCTGTGTCCCCTCTGGGAGGCCAGCACTGGAGCCCAGGGGCCCAAGGTGCAACCGCCCTGACTGCTCAGAGTCTGGCCAGTGACAGGTCCATGGGAGTGCTTCCTTTCCTCGTGGCCGCCGTCTCGGGCAGTCTTGAGTGTTGAGGAAGCCTGCCCGCCCGCCGCTGCCACCCAGGCAGCCTGGAGGTGCAGCCCCAGGGGAGAGCAGCTCCCCCGTCTCACCAGCAGGCTTGCAGCAGCAGGAGTTTAGACAGTGGTAACAGGAGATTGAGGCCATTCTCTCCCCACAAAGCCATCCTTGGCCACAGACTGACTGAAGGACAGGTCTCTGACGGCTTCCCCCAGGCCCCCACTCGCCTGCTTGTGAAACCTTCCTCACTTGTGTCACCACCATCCCATGACAAGTGACCTCGTCATTGCTACCCACTGGTTATTCCCTGATCCTTGGGACTCCCACAGGCCAGCCAGGCTGCGTGGACAAGGTGCTGGCCTGGGCCGACAGAGGCCCTGCTGACCCCCCCACAGAGGCAGTGCAACGTCCGTAGCCCTGGCTGCTGCTCTGGCCCCGGACACCTCTGCCCACAGTTTGGCCATGGTGGTTGGGCAGCCTGTTGTGACCGTGTATCTGGGTCCTGCCAGGCCCTCAGTCTTTAGAGTCAGACGCCTCGGGGTCTTGCTGACCTACTGTCCGCATGCCCTGGGACTGTCTGTAGGTGGGTTTCTGCACGTGGGAGCCCATTTCCTGGGCTGGAGGCAGAGCTGGGCACACAGGATACCCACTGGCCCTGGGGCTTCTGCCACCATGTATCGATGCACTCCTGCTCCACGGACCCCAGCCTCTATGGGCATGACCCCACTCTGACTTTCCCATGGAGCCTTGAGACCCTTGCTGCTGGGAACAAGGTTGCTCTGTAGCCAGGGTGCCCGCCCAGCAGCACCTGCCCTGGGGGGTCCGCATGCACCTCCCCCAGATCAGCCCCTCAGACTAGACCCTGGCAGACCTGCCCTGGGCTCCTATGCCTGCACTGCTCCCAGTGTTGCACCTGGGCTGACTGTGGGTGAGCAGCACCCAGGTCCTATGTCTCAGCCCAGCCCCCACAAACTGCAATCTGGGGAGGGCTCCCTGGCCACACCCAGTCCCCACCTTGCCTGTGCCCATTTGAGTGGCCTTGCCTGGGAATGTGGTGGCACCTGGGCAGGAACCCGGGGTCCTGGGGCGGTGGGGTGGTGAAGGTCGTCATGCTGTGGCCATGGCTGCTTTTGTTCGGCAGTTTTGTTTTCTGGCTCGCCTTTCGAGTTCGGAGTTCAAGGGGCACGAGGGTCTCCCTAAGCCCAGCCTCCTCCCCAGGTCCAGTCCTCGGTGGCCGTGGGCACTCCCGACTACATCTCCCCGGAGATCTTGCAGGCAATGGAGGATGGCATGGGCAAGTACGGCCCCGAGTGCGACTGGTGGTCCCTGGGCGTCTGCATGTACGAGATGCTCTACGGAGAGACGCCCTTCTACGCCGAGTCTCTGGTGGAAACCTACGGGAAAATAATGAACCACGAGGTACGGGGAGGTTGGAGAGCTGGGGTGCGACGGGGGACAGGGTCGAGAGGAAGCTGCATCTGGTGTGGGAGAAGCCGGGTCCTAAGCCCTGGACCCTGGAGCAGAAGGTGGCTTGGGTGGCAGCTGGGCTTCAGGGGCTGGTGGTAGGTGGGTCTGGGATCTTCGGGTGCCAGCCACACACTGTCATGCAGCCCAGCAGAGCAGGTCCCGTCCTTGGGCCTACTTCCTCCCTGGCAAGCCCACTGTGCCCGCCTCACCTCTTTTCCCTCTACGCTCTTTCCTCTGTTGCTCCGTGTGCTCCGTGTCCGGTCTGCCGCTGTCCCAGGCCATGTCCTCTGTCATTGACAGTGTGTCTCCTGCATCCTCTTGTCCTGAGTGCACTGTCTTCCCCCACCCCCACCCAACACACACACACATCCAGAGACGTGTCGGGTGGACCCAGCCTGCAGACAGCTCCTGGAGGGAACAGGCCAGCACCGGACATGCTGAAGATGCTCACTTAGCTCCAAACCAAAACACAAGTCAGTCTTGAATCCACTTTTCCAAAATGGAAATAGGTTTGCTGCTTGTAAATGAACATGTGCATACTGTAAACTCAGGTCCATCCTAAGTGCAAATAGAAGTCAATGAGTGTCACCTCCTTCCAGTATCAGCTGAACCCTGAGCTCCCTGGGACTCCTGCCCGTGCAGCCTGCTCACACGCTTTGTGCAGCAGTGTCGGAGGCCCGCGAGGCCTGGGAAAGGGCACAGGTTCCTTGCGGCTGGCGATTTGAGCCGACCAGGAGCCCCTGCCACACGTGGCAGGCAGAGCACAACTGCAGGGTTTTCAGCAGCTGCGTCCTGGAAGTTGATCTCCAGGTGTTTCTCTGGGGGCTTGAACCTCCAGCAGCTGGGTCAGCGACCCCCTGGGGTCCGCACATCACAGCCAGGGCTGGTTGAGCGAGCTCCAGTTGGTGTCTTTCCACGCCAGCACACGGAGGTGCGCCCTCCTGTGTGGGGGCATGTGCACCCGCTCTGTGCACACAGACACGCCCTCCCACGTCCTCTGGGAAAGGCATGTGGTCACTTTCCATTCCTCGGCAGGCTTCTCACCATGAACACAGTGTGTTTTCTCTGTGAGCGTTTCCGGAGCACACACTTCTAGACGTTCAGGGAACAGCGCATCTCACCAGCTGATACTTGCTGCAAGCTGCGCTCACCAGCCTCTGCCCTGGGGGTGGGGACCCCGTTGCTTCTCTTGGCGCGCCGTGTGGCCTCGAGTCTGCCCTGAAGAAACCCCAAGCCTAGGAATCGTGTTCACCCTTGTGATGATGTCTGACTTACAGTGGAGACACGTGGGTCCAGTGGCTGTCAAATAAAACATGCCTGTTGCTCGGCTGTGACAGGAAGCCCCGGGAGAGCAGGGGCCCAAGAAGGGGAGTCATTTCTGACGGTGGGGTGATGGAGAGGTGGGAAGACAGCACACTGTCCCTGTTGGAAACGGGTGGGGGGGCAGGGGGGCTGGACCAGAAAACCAAGGGGCACTGACGGTGGTCGGCACTCGCAGGCTCCACCGTGCTGCTCTGCCCTGTGTCTTGAATGTCCGTGCACCTGAGGTTCTCCTGACCCCGACCCTCCCTTTCCACCCCCGGCTCCGCCCAGGAGCGGTTCCAGTTCCCGTCCCACGTCACAGACGTGTCTGAAGAAGCCAAAGACCTCATTCAGAGGCTCATCTGCAGCCGAGACCGCCGGCTGGGGCAGAACGGCATCGAGGACTTCAAAAAGCACGCCTTCTTCGAAGGGCTCAACTGGGAAAGCATCCGGGACCTCGAAGCCCCCTACATCCCAGACGTCAGCAGCCCTTCCGACACGTCCAACTTCGACGTGGACGACGACGTGCTAAGGAACACGGTGAGTGTGGTGGCCCGATGAGCCCGGGGAGCCTGACCCGTGGCCGCCAGCCGGCCGTCGCCTGCACTGCTTCTGCGGTCCTTTATTCACAGCCCCCTGGGCTGACACTGAGCCCCAATTGCACAGCCAGGGGGGCTGGGCTCTCCGCCCCGCTCCCACCTTCGGTGGCAGTGTCTGGCTTTTCCTTTCTTTGCCCATCCGGACTCTGGGCTCTCCAGAGGCGTGCCTGGCTCCGGGGCAGGTCTGTTGCTCTGTAGTCAGTATCTTAAACAACCAGACTCACTGCCTTCCCGTCGGTCTGACGCAGACCGGAACAGCCCCTGTGGGTTTCCTGGGCTTTAAAATAAAGCCCGGCCTTTCCCCTTGGAACGAGTGCCTGCTGCCTTAGAGCCTCTGCCCTGTGGTTACCTGCTCTAGTGAGTCCCCTGGTCCTGTAAAGTTTGCTCACGTGTTGTAAGGTGATTTGGGGCTCCTCAGATGTAACTTTTCAGTACAAACGTGACTTCATTCAGGGGTAGAGAAACAGGTTGAACCAAGTGGAAGAAAAACTTCTATTTGGGGAGGCCCTCTCACTAAGGAGGTGCCTTCCTGGGTCTTTGTTGCTTACAAGCCCTTGAAGCGAGCACCCTTGGGGAATGTGGTGGTGGTCTTCCCAGCCTCTGGGTAGAGCAGAGGGTCTCCGGGAGAAAGTGTCCAGTGTCCCTGGTCGTGCACCGAGCAGGGCATCTGCCTGCATCACAGACTTGGCTCGGTGACTCGGCTTCCAGACAAGAGCTGCACCTCAGCACAGGCCACCTGGAAAGAAGCCAGGGGTGCTCTGGCTCTGGAAGGGGTGCTGCCTACATTTGGAGAGACAGTGTTAGCTTGGGGGGTGGGCTCTCTGGGGGAGGACCCCTGCTAGATGGTCACCCACATTCATGGTGAGTGTAGTTGAGGCCTCCTCCCAGACTGCCTGATCCTGGCTAGGAGACGAGCCTGCTTGGTCCTGGCCCTCTGCCCCATGCTTATCCAAGTGCCCTCACCCTGGTGGCTGCAGTCCCGGCCTCTGTGGCTTAATAATTGTGTGCGACTCACTGCCCTTGGGTGGTTGGTCATAGGATCCCTGGTCGCACCGTCGGGTAAGCATAGGAACTGCTAACCAAGTGCTGCGAGGTCAGCACTTCAAAACCCACCCCCGCCACCGCCCCTGCTGGCCCGTGGTTGGAGGATGGAGGCTGCTGTGCCGTGGAGTCAGCCTGGAGACCTGTCGAGGCTCCCTCGGAGTCCCAGTCCAAGGAGTGGCAGTGGGTTGATGATGAACCTGCGCCTCATCATCATTGCTGTCACCTGTGTGCGCAGTGACAGCCAGGAGTGCAGGCTGAAAACATGCCTGAACTAGCTCACACGCAGACGGCACCACAGAACCAGCACCCAGAAAGCTGCACCCCACACACACACACACACACCACTACCACCACACATGCTCTTGACAGTCACCTCTCTTATGGCGCCCTTTCCCTTTGCCTTGGCTGTGTGTGAACCTAGTGCCACTGACGCTGTGTGTGTTCTTGTTCAGGAAATACTACCTCCTGGCTCACACGCCGGCTTTTCGGGATTGCATCTGCCGTTCATTGGCTTCACCTTCACGACGGAAAGGTGAGTCCAGCTCCTCCGATCCCCCTGCCACAGGCGCCTGTGGGGCAGCAGGACGGGTCGCTCAGACGCCTCTCCCGGCTGGCGGCTTTGTCCTGAGCTTCACCCTCAGTGCTGACTCTTTACTGTGGTTGGTGTGAAAGTTCACTAAGAAAATTGGTTTTCCATTGAGTTCTTACTCATTTTGTGTCTCCCTCCTGCCCTCATCCTTCCTCCCCTCTGAGCTGTCCCCTGGGCACGTGCCACCCAGGTCTGGCCCTTAGGTGTGTGCCTTCGGCTCCTGTACGAGTCCCTCCCCTCGGGTGTCCACAGGCCCTGCAGTCCCTGCACGCCTAGTTCCCCGCCCTCTGGAAAAGGACTCGGGCCATTCCCAGCGCCAGGCTGCAGGAGCACTGTGTGACTGTCGGCCTGCTGCCACATGGGCATCAGCTGACCACACCTGTCTGGTCGCTCGGCCACTGTGCCTCCACCCAGTGACCCCAGTGGTGGGGTGTGCTATAGTCCTCCTGAGGAGTCTTGGCTGTCCACCTTGACCATGGTGGGATGGGGACGGGGCTGGGCACAGGCCCTGAGAGGAGGGGACTGGGACGTCAGGGGCTAGCTGGTGAACTGGAGCAGGGCCCCCAGAGCTTGTCACAAAACGCCCCACCGTGGAGTCCTGCCGTCTTCCAGGAGCTGCTGAAACTGACCATAGGACCACAAGCTCCTTAAACGATTTAATTGACAGACCGACCTCCTTTCAGGGAAGACACAAATCAAAACGTCGCTCAGCCTCCCCACCATCCTCCACGCTAGAGCTCGAGCTCGCAGTGCAGGAGGCTACAGACGATCCTTGTACCATTGCAGTGCCCCCGGTGGGGTCGCCTCCATGGGAAAAACTGGCCTGGATTATCTTTCTGGTGTGAAATGCCAGAGGGAGGGCAGGACCCGCCACGCCAGCGCCTGAAGAGGATGCCCAGGGCGTGTGGGCTTGTTGTTCCCATGCATCAGCTTGGGGGTGCTCATGAGACACCCCAGACTCCCTCCCCTGACCGCCACCTGGCTGGGGGACAGGCGTGTGCATGTGTGACATATACACGTGTGTGCGGCCCCCTAGTGGGCTGCCTGGTGGGAGTCTGTCACAGGAGAAGTTCAGCAGAACTGCGTTCGCTGCTGAGCCAGGTGCCCGTGTGTGGCCCCAGCAGCCTGTCACTGGGGAGCCAGTGCGCTTTGCCAGCAGAGTGATGTTGCAGGTGGGGGTAGCTGGGTAAAGCTTCCTGAATCTGCAGATAGAGCAGGGGAGGCCCAGAGAGATGTGGCGTTGTGTCCACACCACCCAGGCCGCCCTGGCTGTTTGACCGCCTTCTCCTGCCCCCTGACAGGGGCCCAGCCTTAGGCCACAAACCACACAACGTGATCTCGTGTTTCCCAGGGAGCATAGATGAGGGTTCAGAAGTGGGTTCCCGCTGTTGCAGACGGGCTTTCCTCTGGGGTCCCTGCCACCCACTGGTCGATCGCAGTGTCTCCTCTTGTCGCCATGAGTAACACCCCGGGATGCTCGCTGCTGGTGGGCACTGCGCCCCCAGCCAGGAGGCTGACAGCTGGTGACGCCCTGTCTGGCAGCTCCTTCTCGGACCGCGGCTCTCTAAAGAGCACGATGCAGTGCGGCAGCCTGAGCAAGGACGAGGACGTGCAGCGGGGCCTGGAGAGCAGCCTGCAGACGGAGGCCTACGAGAGGCGGATCCGGCGGTTGGAGCAGGAGAAGCTGGAGCTGAGCCGGAAGCTGCAAGGTGGCGGGCAGGCCCTGTGGGCACCCCGACCCCTGCAGGCACCCCGCCAGCACTTACATCCGTGTCTGTCCCATCCCAGAGTCCACGCAGGCCGTGCAGGCCCTCCACAGCTCAGCCCGAGCCTTGGGGAACCCCAACCGCGACCAGGAGATCAGAGCGCTCCGTGAAGAGATCGACCGGCTGAAGCATAAGATCGCAGGTATGCGGGCGGGTGGGATCTGGGCCTGCTCGGTGCACAAGCCTCCCCAGGAAGCAGGAGTGTGACGAGGAAAGTGCCGCTGAGGGCCCTTCCTCCGCACTGCCCGTGTGTCCTCAAGCCCATCGAGACGGTTGTCAGCCAGAACCTGGGCCTGCCATGCTTCCTGGGGCCCTGGACCCCTGCAGGCCGTCTGCTGGGAGCTCTGAGGGGGTGGTTCTGGTCGTGTGTCTGTCTCTAAATGGTGCCCACTGGGCAGCCATCCCGGCGCTGTGTCTGTGTGGCAGTCTTGCTCCTGGGGCTCTGTGGTTCCCAAAGGTGCCTGACGGGAGCAGCTCTCTCCACCGCCTTCCCACTTCCCAGCTGAGCCTCGGCACTCTGGTCCCCTCTCGTGGTCAGTGGCCGGCCTGGGCCGGCTCACACAGCCATAGTGCAGCAGGTGGGCGGGCAGGGTGCCACTCAGCAGGTGGTCAGGGCCGAGTGACAGGAGTTGGCCCTGGCCTGTAAGTTCCTGCTCCCCGTGTGGGGAGTAACACGCTCAGTCGTTGCCTCTGTCAGATTCTGGGAGACTGGAGCGGCAGCGTGAGGACTCGGCGCTTCTCCGCCAAGAGCAGGAGGACTCTGCGCAGCGGCTGAGGGGCCTGGAGAAGCAGTGCCGCATGGCGCGGCAAGAGAAGGAGGACTTCCACAAGGTAGCTGGGCATCTTGAGTCGGGAGGGGTGGGACGGGGCGCTGTGTGAAAGACCCCCGTCCGCCAGCTGCCTGCGCTAAGTGGGAGTAGGAGCCCCACCTTGGGCTGTTGCCACTCCAGCCATCTGCAGAGGTGACAGCGACATCTCCCCCATGTTAAAAGAAAGAGGGGATCAGAGAATGCCAGGATTTCCCTTTTTTCACAGCGTCCCTCGCTGCCCCCCTCCCCAGACTGCCCTGGGGGCTCTCTTCCCTCTCTCTCGAAGGGCAACAGCGGTGGGTGTTAAAACTGGGGGAACCTCCACTATCACTTTATAAAGCTACCTGCACTGAACAAGTCAGGCTGTTTGTGCAAACACTCTGCTACTGACTTGTCCCTACCCTGAAGTCATGGGCCCTACAGCCTGTGACTTCCCTGAAACATACCCTGCCCTCACACCCATGCCACCCACAGCCACCCTCCAGGACAGGCTGGGACTGCCCATGAGTTTCCAAGACTGACTCGTCAGGAGCAGAAAGCCCACCTTCTCCCTCAGGGCGCAGGTTGTCCAGGCGGCTCACCTCACAGTTAGCAGCCCAGTGCACAGCCCCTGCCCCCGGCTCTTCCTCCCCAGACTGGCAGGGTTTCACATCCAAGTTGTCTTTTACCACCAGCGGAATGTACTGATGGTTCCTGGGTGGGAGTCACCCAGTCAGATAGACAGCTAGCCCCTGAGTAGCAGGTGCTGGAGGAAGTGGGCAGCAGGGAGGCCGGGGTGGCCAGTGCCACATGAGGAGGCGGCAGGGTGTGCCTAGTGAAGTATTGAGCACTCTGGGATTTAAGCTGTGTGCGTTCCGTGTATCGTGTTCTTCAGGGGTTCTACGGGACTGTCCACGTCCTGGACTGGCCCCCAGGACTGGGTTGGTGGCCCAGGAGAGATCGGGCCATCTTCCAGTGGCCAGAGAGGCCTTTCTGTGTGCCAGGTGGGCCCTAGCTGCTGGGCCAGGTTGACCTGGTTGCCTGTGGCTCGCTGGGGGCTGGGCATGGTCTCTGCTGAAAAAGTGGACACTTGACTGTCATCTGTATGGCTGGCTGGCCTTGAGGCCATCCTAGCCTCCTTAGAGTGGACGCTCCTCGTGCATAATTCCTTCTCTTCAGCAACTAGCAGAAGCTTCTGAGCGGATCAAGTCCCAGGCCAAGGAACTGAGAGACGCCCACCAGCAGCGGAAGCTGGCGTTGCAGGAGTTCTCCGAGCTCAACGAGCGCATGGCCGAGCTCCGCTCCCAGAAGCAGAAGGTGTCGCGGCAGCTGCGAGACAAGGAGGAGGAGGTGGAGGTGGCCATGCAGAAGATGGACTCCATGCGGCAGGAGATGCGCAGGTCGGAGAAGTCCAGGAAAGAGGTAGCGGTCCTGATGGAGCGGGTCGGGTAGTGAGCAGGGCTGAGCGTGGGGAGGCGAGCCTGCATCACGTCCGCCCACCTCACCCGGGCACTCCTCTTGTGCTTGTCCCACCTCCCCTCTGTGGATTCGGGAAGAGAGCTTCCTTCTCAGAGGCAGGGGAACTCCAGAAAGCCCACCTGGTTTTCGGAGCGCCCTCATGTAGCAGGATTGCACCATGGCACAGCACCTGCCACCCATGAAGGTCATGGGCATGGACGAGATGCCGTGCCCCTGCCTTGGGTCAGAGGTTCTGGAACTTCTGGTCTCGGGACTCCCCGACACCGAGGACTCAAGTCCCCACACTCATTTGACCATCGTGTTTCCGAGGCTGTGAGCCTCGCAAGAGCAGATGGCCTCATCTTCCTCCCGCTGAGCCCCTGGTGGGTTTGAACTGCTGACCCTGTTAAACAGCTCAGTCCTTAGCCCAGAGCTCCTTTGGAAACGCTGGTGTAGACTGTCTATATATACACTCTGTACACTCCACATCAGAATTGAGAATGAGAGCAACGTTTAAATCATACTCTGATTCATTTAAAACTTGCAACACTAAACTCGTGTTTTAGATAAAAATAGTTGGGTAGGTTTTTGTTTGTTTTGTTTTGTTTTGAAAACAGCTATTTTGGAAAAACCGTATTTAGTGAAAACAGCTAAACGCTTTTTTTTTAACATGTCTCCTGTTTCTTTCCTGTCCGGCCGGCTCGTAAATAAAGTTCCACGAGCCCGGCTTCCGCCCCCTCTGAGCGCCGGGCAAGCTGTCGTGTGAGGCCAGGCCGGGCTCGTGCCCTGTGGTGCTCACCAGGAGGCCCGGTCCCGGCCATGTCTCTGAGCTCGGAGTTGGGTCTGTAGCCCTAGGACGTTGTTGGTTGTGCTGGTGCTTCCAGGAACGAGCGCCCTGTGGGGACGGGCTGGCCGAAGGCTGGACAGTGCGTCCACTGCAGGTCCTGTGGGGAGCGCGGGACCGTGGCACTGGCTTCTGGTTGTCACTGTTGGCCCCTCTCCTTCTCACAGCTGGAAGGTCAGCTGGAGGACGCCGTCGCCGAGGCCTCCAAGGAGCGCAAGCTCCGGGAGCACAGCGAGAGCTTCTGCAAGCAAATGGAAAGTGAGCTCGGGACCCTCAAGGTAGCGCTCGGCTCGCCCCTCCTTGGGCACCGGGGGAACAGCTTTCTTCCACCGACTCTCAGGGTGCCGCAGTCTCGAGTCCCCTGCTTGGCAGGCCCGCTTTCACCCCAGGGGGTCTTCCAGACAAGGCTTGGGCACATGGGGGCACCCGTTTCACTGTTAGACCAGTTGGCAGTGGCCTTGTTGGGTCCTATCTAGTAGACTCCGACTAGAGGGTGGGGTGGGGCTGCCCCTAAGGCTCCCTAGGACGGCCAGGCCTCTCTCCTGCGGCACCACACCCAGGGCTTGAACCATTGTCCGCACAGTGTCACTACACTTGGGGCTCCTTTTGTAAACGGGGCAGTGAGGCCCACTGCGTGGCCTCCTTTTTTGCTGGGTTTCTGTATCCAGCACAGGGTCTGCTTCTGAAACACCCTTTAGCACTCACCCCTACTCTTACCATCGGAACAAAATCAGGCTGGCCCCGGGCCAGGTTGGGGCTCCGGAGAAGCAGACAGGGAGACTGGCTGAGCGAGAGGAGCGGGCTGTGCCTGCCTGCGGACTGGCAGGAGGTGCAGCCTCAGCTCCCTTCACTGAGCCTCAGGGTGCTCACGTGGAACTTGGGGATCACGGGCCTCCCCTTCCCTCCCACCTGCAAGCCCATTGCCTTACCCGGGCCTCAGGGCTTCCCTGTGTCTGATGCTCCCCATCCACCTGTGGCCAGCACCGCCCCGCTCCCTGCTCTCTGCTCTCTGCATGCCTCAGGCCAGCTCCCCCTGCAGCCCCTCCACATGCACAGGGGCCAGGCGGGGGTCCTCTCGTTCTGTCAAATGCACCCCTGACCCGAGCTGGCCCCACTGCTCCTCAACCCAGTGGCCCCCTGGGGTCTGTCCCCAGCCCGCACTCCAGTGCAGGTCAACATGAACCGGGTCATAGGGTTGGCTGTCCCAGTTACTTCCTGATTCACCCATCATCAGTCCCTCCTTTGTCACGTGGAGCAGAGGCTGGAGAGCCCAGGGCAGAGGGCATGGGAGCCGAGGCAGCCTCACAGACTGCAGCCACGTGGTGTTGCATGTGGCTGTGCTCGGCCATGAGGACTAAAGCCAGGCCATGTGGGCAGGACTCTGCAACCCAGGCAGCGCTGGGTGTTCCCTGGGCAGGGTGGGCACCATCCCCCCTAGACCAACCAGAGGCCCACTAGTCACTGGGTGCCGGAGCCATCCCTCTGAGAGCTGGGCGGTGGGCGGGTTAGCGCAGCGCTGCACGTGTGGGGTCGGCTCCTCGCAGGGCGCGTGGCTGACCACCGTGGTGTGTCCCAGACGAAGCAAGGGGGCCGGGGGCCCGGGGCCGCTGCGGAGCACCGTCAGGAGCTCTCCAAGATCACGTCGGAGCTGGAAAAGAAGGTGCTGTTCTATGAGGAGGAGCTGGTCAGGCGCGAGGCCTCCCACGTGCTCGAGGTGAAGAGCGTGCGCAAGGAGGTGCACGACTCCGAGGGCCACCAGCTGGCCTTGCAGAAGGAGGTCCTGATGCTGAAGGACAAGCTGGAGAAGGCCAGGCGGGAGCGGTGAGCTGAGCACGGCCCTGGCCACTGCAGCCCGCCCCTAGGGGACACCGGCACCCACCCAACTGGGCCCTCAACACCCCTGTCCTCCCTCCTCAGGCACAACGAGCTGGAGGAGGCCGTGGGCACGATGAAGGAGAAGCACGATCGAGAGCGAGCCGTGCTGTGTGAGGAAAGCAGGAAGCTCACCGTGGAGAACGAAAGGGTACCGCCAGTCTTGCATCCCCACCCCGTACCTCACTCCTGAAAGGGCTGTGACGGGCTGGGGTGCCTGCTCACCCCCTACCCATTACTGACCTCGTCAGCGCTCTCAGTTTAGATTCAGATTTAAATGGCAATGCAACATAATGGAGAGCCTATCAGAACCTCACGAAGGTTTGAGGCAGCATCCCAGAGCTGCAGGGGGACTTGGCCCTGTGACCGCGCCGGCATCCTACTCAAGGGCCACCGAGTATAATGCTTGTGTGGAAACGGTTGCATTTCAGCTCTGTGCCTTTGTGGACAAGCTCACAGCCCAGAACAGGCAGCTGGAGGACGAGCTGCAGGACCTGGTGGCCAAGAAGGAGTCCGTGGCCCACTGGGAAGCCCAGATCGCTGAGATCATTCAGTGGTGAGTGCCCAGGCTGACCAGCCGGGCCCAGCAGCCACCGGCTCACCTGACTGTCTGGGCGGGAGCACGGCTCTCAGGATTGTTCCCCTGATACCCACCGTCTGGGCAGCAGTTTGTCCTGCGGGCATCGCAGTGCGCTAGCCGCAGAAGGCCAGTGCCCCATCTGGCCAACAGACTGGACCCCTGCAACTGATTGGCCCCTGTGTCCTGCTCAGGGGCCCTTGGTTGCAATGTGCTGCGTAGCTGGTATTCGGGTGTGGTGTGAGCCTGGCAGGGGCACCATTGTCGCCTCAGCTTCCCTCCCTCCCTCCCCCCAGGGTCAGCGACGAGAAGGACGCCCGGGGCTACCTTCAAGCTCTCGCTTCGAAGATGACTGAAGAGCTGGAGGCGTTGCGGAGCTCCAGCCTGGGCTCCAGGACGCTGGTAGGTTGGCTCTGGGTCTCGGGAAGAGTCTGGAGGCCAGGGACGCGAGCCCCGGGGCCGTGGCCAGGATGTCTGGAGTACTCGTGGTTCAGTCGTCGTTCCGATGGGTCCTTCCGAGCTGTCTGTGATGGAGACGTGAGTCTGTCTCCAGGGTGGGCCGCCACGGGGCCGCTCTAAGAATCGAAGACGAATAACACAAAACGTTCTGCCAGGGGCGACAGGCGGGCAGCGCCCATCGCTGACCACGGCACCAGACCCGTCCCGCTCGCCACCGGCACTTTGCTCTCATCCAGCTTGCTCTCTCCTTCCTGGAACGAGGCTGAAGACTCAGGGAGCCCCACGTTATTAAAGATGTAGCTGGATTTAACTTGGCGCCTAGACAGTATGTGTGGCTGCAGCTCCTGCCCTGTGCCCGATGGGCCGGGACCACCAAACCACTGCCTTCGAGGCGATTTGGAACCCTTGCCGCCTCGGAGAGCTGACAGACTCCACGGTTTCTGAGGCTGTAAACCTTTACCGGAGCAGGAAATCTCGTCTGTCTTCACCACGACCTTGTGGTTAGCCGTCTGCCGAGTGACCACGGCACCACCAGGGCTCCCAGTCACAGCCACCTGGTACACTCCCTGGCTAGCTGCGCAGCTTGTCCCTGAGCATTCCCATCCTTAAACATGCGAACGCGTGGTCCCATTGAAGAAGGACACAGTGTGTTCTTGGCGCCAGAAGTGCACGCCATTCTCGTCCATCAATTGAGGGACACCAGTCAGAACAGTTAGCCGCTGCTTGTTTTCATTCCTCTGTTTCCCTGTGCTGCTGTCGTTGGAGGCCCCCACCGCCGTCCTCACAGCTGTGGTGTGAGCCCACTGTGCTGTCCACTTTGTCCAGCGCCTTCTCTTTTCCTGCCCTTAACCAAGCACCTGTCCTCCTCCAGGGCCTGGTCCCTCCTGGCTTGCCGTCCCTGCTTGTAAGGAGCACTCTGCTCCCTACTCCTCGGCCAGCTCTCGTGTGCACCAGGTGATTGGAAAGACCTGAGCCAGGCACACCTCAGTCCTCAGCGTGACAGCGTTGCTCCTGAACCCATCCCAGCGGTCCCGGGTCACTGTGACACGCTTGCCGACAGTCTTCTCTTGGCTGTTGTAGACAGAGAAGTCTGTGTTCTCAGCTGTGTTCAGAGAATGAACGGGCAATCTCCCAGGAGGGGTTCTCCAGCCTCCTCAAAAGTGTATGAGACTCACTGCCACTCCCCCTGAACGCTGGGCGATGATGGCAAGGCGGGCTTCCCCCAGGGGCCTCCCACTGCGCTCCCCCTTCCTGTTGTTTCCATCTCTCACCCTTGCTCAGCAAGGTTGACGAGCGGTTCTGCGGCTTGTCCCCCAGGACGCCGAGAAGGCAGAATGCTCCGAGACACAGGAAAACGAAGCCGGTGCACGAAGGGTCTTGGGTTGTAGAGTCAGTAGGCCGCAGGGACAGTGGCCCTCGCCCATGTGTGGGGGGCATCACATGGCGTCTTGGTAAGGGCCTCGGTTGGCTGAGCCATCGTGCGTGCCCCACCCTCTGCAGGACCCGCTGTGGAAAGTCCGCCGCAGTCAGAAGCTGGACATGTCTGCCCGCCTGGAGCTGCAGTCCGCACTCGAGGCCGAGATCCGGGCCAAGCAGCTGGTGCAGGAGGAGCTGAGGAAGGTCAAAGACGCCAACCTCTCCTTTGAAAGGTGTGCTGGGCCCTGGGGGGAAGGGAGGGGAGCCGGGCTGCGGGGCCTGGGACCAGTGTGGCCTCTCTGACCCCCGAGACCAGGGTGCAGCCTCGGGGGAGCTGGCTGAGGCCTGGGTATGTGCACCGACCCAGCCGTCACCGTGAGCCTTCACTCGGCAGCTTGGGTTTTCCCGTGATGCCGAGCTCACGTTTAAACAGAGGCTGGAGATGGCACGAGGGGCCTGGCCAAAATGCCGTAGGGATGCAGCTATGCGGGCTGCCAGCCCCGTGCCACCTTCCCCCTCGCACGTGCACCTCTTCCCAGACACCCAGAGCCTGCTGTGCTTCTTTTCAGCCAACTGAAGGGTTCCGAAGCCAGAAACAGAGAGTTACAAGAAGAGATGGAAAGTCTGAAGAAAAAGATGGAGGAAAAGCTTAGAGCCGAACCTGGTAAAATCCCAGATCCTGAGCTGCTGCTTTCCCCCCCTCCCCCCTCTCCCTCTCCCCTCCCCACGGCCAACGAGGGCGTTTACATATCAGGTTGTCGTTTTTGCTTCTGCTTCAGTACCCCTCCAACCCTCCCCCTGGTTGCCCCCGTCCCTGCTCCACTCCTTCTCCGCCAGCTCCCTTTGAGAACACTGTCTCCCCTTCACCCGTGGTTGCCATGACACTTGGTTCTTGGCTCTATGAAGCTGTGATAGGTGTCAGAGAGGAAATCAGGAAGCAAATCCATCCCACCACAGCCCCTCCCGCCATCCCCTCTGCTCAGAGCAGAGTCGGCAGCAGTGTGGAGCGAGCCTTCATGGACCGAAAGGCAGCTTGCATTTTTCACTCCGAATTTTCCCTCTGGGTCCTTGACTCACTGGAAAAAGACCAGGCAGTTAGCATTTTTCTTGATTTTTCCGAAGTGTTCTTCACGTATCGAGGATTAAGGCCCTCGGGAACGTACGTTCCGATGTTTTGCATGTTGTTTTGGGTCTTTTGATGTTGCCTACAGCGCGTGTCTGTCGGTTTGAACCCTGCCAAGCAAGTGTCTGGATGTTTGTGAGTCCGTCCCTCTGCCCTTGCCCTCTGGAGTCAGCACCCAGCTCCTCCCTCCTGCAGCGGGTCCACTGGGTGTGCTCCAACACTTGGGCGCTGCTGGGCCTGGCGTCATTCCCTCGTTGGCCCATTGGGACTCCTCTGAGTGTGCAGGGTGGGGTGCACCCAGCTTGATCCTTCTCCTTACGGCGGCCAGTCCTTGCCTCCGACCTCAGGTGTCACTTTTGTCAGGAGGCTGTGTTTGCCCCCATTCCCAGTGGTCCTGCACCAGAGACTTGATCTGAGTCCCGCAGGCTTCACACGGAAGTCGTTCCACACAGGCCCCATCACCACAGCATCCTGACGGATTTCTTAGGCTTCCCTGCATTTTGGAGCGCCGGGGGCATAGTAGGTTATGTGTGGGGCTGCGAATAACCGCAAGGCCAGCTGTTTGAAACCACCAGCTGCTCCACTGGAGAAAGATGAGACTTTCTGCTCCCACAGAGAGAGAGTTACAGTGTCAGAAACCCACAGTGACGGCTTCACCCTGTCCTATGGGGTCTCTGAATCAGATTCTACTCAACTCAATGCAGGGAGTTTGGTTTTGAGACATTTCCTGAGGTTTTCTTGCCTGGTTATGCTCAGGTGCGTGAGTAAACATGTATGTGTAACCTGGCGTGCGCCATTTCAGCCATGGTTGCAGGGACCATTCCGGACACTAATTACACTCACAGGGTCCAGCCGTCACCACTCTCCACTCACACCCGTGTCCACTCTCCTCATTGTGAGGACACACACCAGGTCACCAGTTTCTGCAAGTGTGCAGTGCAGTGACGCAGACCACAGCCTCCTGTTAGCAGCAGCGTCTCCACCCAGGGTTCCAGCTGCCAAGTCACTGTTGCGAATTCCATCCCTGTCTGTGGCCCTGGAGCCGTTCCCCGTGCTCGGGGCAGACGGTCTCCACTCGCCGCGGTGTGTTCAGTTGGTTTGTTCCTTCATCGCCTGTTACAGAAACTCGGGACCCCTTAACAGCCCCATCCCCTTCCTCTCCAGCTCCCGATCACCACTCGTACACTTCGGGCTCTCCGTCTCTGCCGGTTCCACAGACTCGGCACTGGACAGTACTTGTCCTTCAGCGTCTGCTTTTCTCACCTGAACTTCTTAATGATCCCTCGGGATGCCATTTCCTTGGTGGCTGCACAGCGCTTCGTGGGTGGCAGGCCGCAGTTAACCCATGCCCTCACTGCCCGCCGGCACCTCTGGGCAGTTTGAGTGGAGCTGCACGCAGGGCTCCTGTGTCGGCTGTTGGGGTCCCTGTCCCCCCTTTGGGGTGGGGGTGCTCCTGCGGGTCTGGCAGAGAGCTTTGTGGTCAATCACCGTGTCCGTCTGGCTCCAGGGAAAGCCTGATGGTCAGTCCCCTTCCTTGGGTTCTTCCTGAGAGCGAGGTGCCCTGACGTCGCCTTTGTCTCTCTCAGGGCTGAAGCTCCCAGACTTCCAGGACTCCATTTTTGAGTACTTCAACAGTGCGCCTCTTGCGCACGACTTGACGCTTAGGGTAAGTTGTCGTGGAAAAGAAAGCCACAGGTGTTATGAGGTTGCAGCCGGGTCGTGTGGTGTGACCACCCTGCGGGCTGGAGTCACACCACACGTGGTCCCTGGCAGCTCTGCCTCTCCGGCCCGGGCTGAGCTATGGACGAGAGGAGGCCGAGTGAGGTGTCTGAAGTGCTCCCGTGGCCAGCGGCCAGCGTCATATGTGCTGGCCGTCACCTGGAGCACACACACGGGCACACGTGTAGGGGTACACATGCGTAGGGGCACGCATTAGGGAGCACACGTGTAAGCCACACACACATAGGGCACACGTGCTTCTGTGACATCAGCAGCCTGCAGGGACAAGGCGGGCGGGTGCCGCTATCGGAGCCTTTTCTCGCGGCATTTGCATCAGGTGGACATTGCTGCCACATTCGCTGGGAGAGCAGGTGCGTCCTGGCTCCTGGGGGTGAGCCCTGTGCCCCCAGTGGAGTCCTCCACCATGGAGGTGACCCAGCCGCAGACCGAGGCTGACCGTGGGAGCCAGGTGTAGGTCAAGTCACTTCTGAGGATGACCCAGGGGGACACGTCCCTTCACAGCCAGAGTAGCAGAAGGCTGAGAGGGTGAGGATGGGTCCTACCTGTGGCAGTGAATGAGGTGTCACCCACTCAGAGCACCGCCCTGGGCCACCACACAGAAGCCTGTGTGCTCCCGCACCCCTCCTCCTTTCTCTCTCCACAGACGGCCTCTACTGGGGACCAGGAAGCCCACACGCCAAAGCCAGAAGTGTCACCGTCCATGTCTGTGCCCTCGGGTGTAGATCAGCAAGAAGTAAGACCCACCCCCCGGGGCTGGAGGGTCCTCTGGATGCTCCCTCACCCCAGGGGCCGCGCCCATGTCCTGCAGCCAGAGCTACACCGTCCTTAGTTTCAGGGTTGCCCTAGGCCTGTCAGCAAGGTTCCCAGTGCACTCAGTCAAGGGGCAGGACTGTTCACGGTAATAGGTGCAGAGAGCAGACTTCCCAGCAGGCCCCGGGCCTGGGTCATTGGCACTCACCTGCTGCTTGTCCCTCAGGACCTGGCTCGGGGCTTGCCCAGGCCCGCTGCCGCGCCACTGCCCACCACACCAGCCCTTGCCCTCGGCGGACCCAAGGTAGGCCCCGCCCAGCCCCAGTCTACTCCCCCCACGTCTCTGCCCAGTTCTTTCCCTGACATCTGCACGTGCGTGCACGCAGCGTGTGTGGTCTGCAGGCGGGCGAGTGTGTGCCAGCTGATGGTAGCCTCTCTCTATTTGAGCGCCCAGGCTGCCCGCTGCCCCTTTCTCTCAGCGTGCACCCAGGGTGGGGGTGGGACGGCCCTGAGGGGCAGGGACGGTAAGCAGGTGGCTCTGTCGCTGTGTGTGTTCTTTGTGCTCCGGAGGACCGAGGGCCCACCACTGGCAGCTGAGGCCTTTGCACTTAGAGCGTTGGAGTCAGTAGACTGGTGGTATTTACATCACGGGGGTTCCTGGTTGTGAAATAAACTGTGTCCCCACTCGCCACCAGCTCCCTTGCATCTCGCACGCCTCAGATAGGGCTGGCTGCCGCCTCTGCAGCTGCTTGTGTCTGAGCTCTGCGCACGCGCTGTCATTCACGGGCGACTCGCTTTCCCACACGGCCTCCCGCCCGGGTCCATGTGCGGCTGCATCACAGTGTGTCTGCTAGCCCACTCCGGGTGGCTTCCCCACCAGCCCTCGGGCCCCCTGGTCGTCTGTGTCCTGGAACCCGCCTGTGTGGCCCCGGCCCCTGAGCAGGGCTCACCTTGCTGCTCTGCCCCTGCTTCCAGCCGAAGGCGCACCAGTTCAGCATCAAGTCCTTCCCCAGCCCCACCCAGTGCAGCCACTGCACCTCGCTGATGGTCGGCCTTCTGCGGCAGGGCTACGCCTGCGAGGGTGAGTGCCGCTGCCCCGCCCTCCCACCGTGCTACTCAGGTTGGCGAGTGGTCAGCCAGCCTGTGGGATGTATCCTGTCCCCCACATGCAGGGCCTGGCTTGTCTGAGCCCCCTCCTCTCTCACCCAGGTTGGTGGGGCGGGGGCGGGTCGGGTCGCATGGTAGCAGAATCTCCTGTCGTTCACTCTGAGCACGCTGGCTTCCTGCCAGGACCTGCAGCAGGCATGGGACCTGTCCCTGCCCAGGGGCAGCAGGACACCCCGTGAGAGGGACCCCCCAATCAGTCCAGGAACTGATTTGGGCAGGTTGTCACCCCTCTGTGATACCTGCAGTGACTGGGGTGTCCCCCCCAAATGCAGTGACTGGAGTCCCCCCTTCCAGGTGCCCATAGTTACTGGGGTCCCCCCCAAGCGCCTTCAGTGACCATCCACCCCCAGGCGTCCACAGTGATGGGTTCCCCCTCCCAGGCACCTGCAGTGACCGGTGCCCGTGGGAGCTGGTGGCTCACATCACGTGCCCTCCTTCCCTGCCAGTGTGCTCGTTCGCCTGCCACGTGGCCTGCAAGGACAGTGCCCCCCAGGTCTGCCCCATCCCCGCTGAGCAGTCCAAGAGGCCCCTCGGGGTAGACGTGCAGAGAGGCATCGGGACCGCCTATAAAGGCTACGTCAAGGTAGGGGTGTAGTGGGGGGGGGGTGGCGTTTCTGCCACTCTGCTTGGTGCCCTGGGGCCTGATTGCCCCCAGACCCCAGTGCCCACAATCACAACTCTGGGGCCATGAAGCGGCCCTGGAACCAGGCTTCTGAGGCCCCTCACGTATTGGTGGGGCTGACCTCAATGCACTGGAGGTCAGTTGGGGAGACTCCCTGCCCACTGAAATGTGGCTTCTGCTGTGCAGGTCCCGAAGCCCACCGGGGTGAAGAAGGGCTGGCAGCGGGCCTTCGCAGTGGTCTGTGACTGCAAGCTCTTCCTGTATGACCTGCCCGAGGGGAAGTCCACGCAGCCTGGCGTGGTGGCCAGCCAGGTCCTGGACCTCAGGTCTGTGGGTGGTGTGGGCCAGCTAACGCTCCACCTGTGGCTAGAGGGAGACCTGCTGCACACTGGGACTCCAGCCCGTCTGTGCCTCCACGTGCCTGCGTGTGGGTGTGAGAGGGGCGTGTCTGTGCTCGTGCGTGCACCTGTCAGTGAGGACGTGGGGGTGTCCGCACACGAGGCTGCATCACGAGCGTGCCCTGCGCTGTCCTCGCGTCTTCTCTCCACAGGGACGAGGACTTTTCCGTGAGCCCAGTCCTGGCTTCAGACGTGATACATGCTACACGCCGAGACATTCCTTGTATATTCAGGGTATGGTTTCCCTCAGTTCTTATTATTTGTTAGAGACCATTTCCTTCCATCATTTGAAAAATTGACACTGTGTCCCGGGAGCTGAGCACAGTCACAGCTCTGCTCTCCCTGATACAACCCCCACCCCCACCCTTCTGTCCGCGGGACTCTTAGCACTGGGGGTAGACTCGCTGGAAGGACCACAAAACACGTGGCCTGGCTGAGCACTGCCCAGCGTGGGACCAGCCAAGGGCTAGTGGCAGCTCTGCCAGTGTGTATGCTGGCCTTTGTGGGTTGGAAGCAGGCCACCTGCACCCCTGTGGGAATTTCACAGGCAGTAAAATCTGGGACTTAGCACCAAACCAAGTCTGTGGGGGCCGACGGTGTGGGAAACAGGCGTTTGGGAAGGAGCCGCCCGTGAGGAATGGCCCGTGGGCACGCGTGGAGCGTGCTGGTGTGTGTCACCGGCCTCTGCTGGGCACAGTCTGGGGTCTGTGTGTTTCCAGGGAACCAGTTCAGTGGATTGCTGGTCCTGGGTTTGGCAGGAGCAGAGTTAGTTACAGCCCAGGTCTCCCTGTGCCTGGGAGCTGGCCTGGTCCTTCTTGCTGTCTGTTGATGAGGAGCCGGCCGGCGTGCAGCTCTGACGTCCCGCCCCGCCCTGCCCTGCCAGGGTGTGTGTGGGCCACTGTCTGGAGGCTTCCCAGCAGGCTGTGGGTGCTGCCTGGCCCAGTGCATCCGGTCATCTCACGGCTGTTCTCTTATCTGTTTTGTTTCCCACTGTGAAGGTGACGGCCTCTCTCTTAGGTTCACCTTCAAAGGCCAGCTCACTGCTCATCCTAACAGAAAACGAGAATGAAAAGAGGAAGTGGGTTGGGATTCTCGAGGGCCTCCGGTCCATCCTGCATAAGAACCAGCTGCGGGGCCAGGCCGTGCACGTGGCCCAGGAGGCCTACGACAGCGCACTGCCGCTCATCAAGGGCGCCCTGGCAGCTGCCATAGTGGGTAAGACCTCGCAAGAGGACAGTGCGCTGGGCGGGCGGGCCACAGCAGCCTGGGTATCCAGGTGGACACACTTAGCCTCTCACGGAAAGGTGGGCACCTCCCGCCCCTGGGCACACCTGCAGTTGGCTGTGCCTCTGAGTGAATTTGGTGGTGGCTGGCGCAGGTAGATCACGACTCTCCCTCTCCTGCTTTTACAGATGGAGACAAGATCGCCCTTGGCTTGGAAGAAGGGCTCTATGTCATCGAGCTGAATCGCGATGGTGAGGGAGCCAGGCCGGCAGTCAGAGTCACCCGTAGACAGGCACCCGAGGGAGAGGCCATACCGAGGGAGGGAAGACTGCTGGCGGGAAGGGGGCAGGGGGAGCGTGCCACGGGTATTTGCCAGGGGGCGGACACGGGGGACTCTCACAGCTTAGTGTGACAAGAGAGAGCTCAGCAGGGCCTCGGCAAGTCCTGGGGAGGGGAGGGATGGGGCCGGGTCCCAGAGGAGGTCTAGTGGGGGGTGCTGTGCAGAGTAGCTTCTCCTCATGGGCTCAGGTGAGGTCAGACAACTGTAACCTTGTATCCCAGGGCCACATGTGTTCACAGAGAAAGGACCCTGGGAGACTGGCCAGATGGTGGGTGGGGGGCCACATGGGCAGAAATGCTTTCAGAGAGCACCCCCAATTTCCCAAGTGCAGATTAAGGGGTGAGGCTGTGCATCTGTCCTTCAGGGCCGCACACCTTGCCTGCCCACGTGTCCCAGACTCGAACAGCCAGGCTGCCCAGGGAGGGGTGAGGATAGTGGGCAGAGGTGTGCCAGGAACCGCACAAGGGCCCGATGCTCTGCAGGCAGGATGGACACGTGTGGAGGGCCGGTCGGCAGAAAGGTGGGCTCTGGCCAGCCGGGGCGTGCTGGCCCCGTCCTCACCCGCGTCCTCCCTGCAGTGATCGTCAGAGCGGCCGACTGCAAGAAGGTGCACCAGATTGCTCTGGCGCCACGCGAGAAGTTGGTTATCTTGCTGTGCGGCCGGAACCACCACGTCCACCTCCACCCGTGGTCGGCCTTAGAGGGCGCTGAGGGCAGCTTCGACATCAAGCTCCCCGAGACCAAAGGCTGCCAGCTCCTGGCCACGGCGACCCTGAAGAAGAGCCCCGCCACCTGCCTGTTGGTGGCCGTGAAGCGGCTGGTGCTCTCCTACGAGCTGCACAGAACGAGGCCTTTCCACCGGAAACTGGGCGAGCTGGTGGCGCCCGGCCCCGTGCAGTGGATGGCTGTGCTCGGGGACCGGCTCTGCGTGGGCTACCCATCGGGGTTCGCCCTGCTGAGCACGCGGGGCGACGGGCACGTCCTCAGCCTGGTGAGCCCCGCCGACCCCTCGCTGGCCTTCCTCTCGCAGCAGCCCTTTGACGCGCTCTGTGCCGTGGAGGTCGGCGGCGAGGAGTACCTGCTGTGCTTCAGCCACATGGGACTCTACGTGGACTCGCACGGCCGGAGGTCACGCGTGCAGGAGCTCATGTGGCCCGCGGCCCCCGTCGCCTGTAGTATGTATATCTTTTCTGTTGCCGTTCCCCCGTGGCTGCCTCACACCGGCAGCCAGGTCTGCACTGCCGCCCTGGCTCCCCCGCCCTCCAGGCGGGGGTTCTGGGCCCTCAGACAGCTGCCCGGCACAGGGTCCACGGTGGGGGTGGTGATTGTGAAGGGCTGCTGGTGTCTGTACCCCTCACAAGGCAAGATGGTGCGTTAGGCCACACGCTGGTGAGATCCAGGGTTTGGCCCAGAGGTTCCCGGCTCTGCAGTTCAACCGGTGCACTCTGTCCGGAGGCTGCCCTGGGGACCAGCGGGCTGCTGGCTCTGGCAACGTATTTGTGAACGTCGTGCTGGGCGGCCTCCGGAAGGGAAGGTCTGGGCCTGAGGACCACAGCAAGCTGCTGCCTGCCTCCTGGGGGCCACCCTGCGGAGCCTGCAGGGTCTGAAGGTTGAGGGGAGGGAGGGGCTAGTAACTAGACCTTGCCTGTCTGGCTGGGCTCTGGCTGGTGGCTAGGGGTGGTCCCGCGTGTGTCTGCAGGAGGCTCCACGCTCACCCCCGCGGGCCGCACCGCCTGCTGTTGTTCTCACGCTCCCACCTCACTTCTGCACACGGCGCTGGGCAGGCCCAGCTCCTCAGCTTCTTTCTGCAGGACACAGGTGTTCTGAGATGCACTGAGGTTTTACAGTCCCGTCCCGCCCCCCATCCCCCCATCGAGTTCACGCCACACTTCTGAGACTCCCTTTGTGGGCACGGCCTGCCCTTCTCGGTGCAGAACATAGGTACTGTGGGCTTCCAGGAGGCAGAGTTACGTGATTTAACTTGGGGCAGGCAGAGAAGCGAGAGCCAAGCCCAGTGCTGGCACTTTAACCCGCCACGCCGGCACTGCTACCCAAGAGACTTACCGTGCATTTCACAGCCGAGGGGGCCCACGGATCTCATCAGTCAGGGTGCGCCCTGGTTCAAACTAGGGCCTGCTGGCCTCCACGCCCCTTTTCTTCCCAGGACAACACTGCCTCCTTTTCCCGATGTAGCCTCAAGTCACCCACACGGATACCTTCCCACAAATAAAGCTCATTGTAAGGAATTTCCCAGCAGCCTCAGCCGGGCCTTGAGGCCGGCCTCCTGGGCATGCTCCCAGGGTCACTCTGTGGCTGGAGCGTTTTTGAATCCTTGGTTGTCTGCGCCTCAAGGCGTCCTCTTCCTGTTCATGGGGACAGCGGCAGGGCAGCCGGGTGGACTCTGCAGTCCTCGGTGCTGCTGCGTAGAAGGTCGTGCAGACCTGCCAGTGAGGCGTGACAGGAGCAAAGTCCACCTTTCTCCTTAGCAAGTTGGACTGGGCCAGAGCCAGCTGGTGCCTCCCCGGGTGCTCAGATGGGCTGGTGCTGTCTGGGTTCTGAGGGAAGAGACAGGCCGTGCCAACCACCCTGGCTGGTGTCTGTGTGTCTGCTGGGGAGGAGCCGCAGGGACTGCTGCTCCCAGTAGGGCACGCTCTTCCTCACGTCTGTCCTCCAAGGCCCACCCAGACAGCTGGCTGCAGGGCAGGTCCAGACCCCTGGGTGGACAGGACTCCATCCTCACACACGCACCCTCCCACTTGGCGTCTCCTGGAAAAGGCATCTGCCAGAACCTCCAGCCCCCACTGGATTCTGACTCCTGGGTCTGAGCTCTTGGGCTCTTCCATAACCCCACATGGGAGGGACACCGAACAGAAAGGTGACCCTGTATCCTGAAAAATCATCAGGGTACCACGTCTTTACCACTGTAACTGCACTTGGTTCCGGAGTAGGGGCAGGAAGAACCCACCCGCGGCCCGTCACTGCCTGAGCTGCCACCGTGCCCCAGCATCTGCCAGGGCCGAGGGCACTTGCCTTGAGGTGGCACAGCCCTGGCGTCTGCCTGGGCTAGGGCAGCAGGCCTGAGGGCTACCGCCCAGTCACTCAGAACTTTGTCCCTCTCCCCATGCTAGGTTGCAGCCCCTCCCATGTCACTGTGTACAGTGAGTACGGCATCGATGTCTTTGATGTGCACACCATGGAATGGGTACAGACCATCGGCCTTCGGAGGGTAAGGCTGGTGGGCGGCTCCTGGCTTTCCCCAGGGTGCTGCCCCCCAGATCGCCATGTCACTGCCCTGCCTCTGACAGATCCGACCTCTGAACCCGGAGGGCAGCCTCAATCTCCTGGGCTGTGAGCCGCCGCGCCTCATCTATTTCAAGAGCAGCTTCTCCAGTAAGCCACCCTCTGGGCGGGAGGCATGGGGCTTTCTGTAGTCTGGTCTGGCTCAGCCTGCCCTCCACAGCAGTGTCCAGGTCCAAGGTCATTTCCCAGGGTGCTTCCCTCCCCCAGGTTCTGTCCTGAACGTGCCTGACACCTCGGACAACAGCAAAAAGCAGATGCTGCGGACGAGGAGCAAGCGGTGGTTCGTGTTCAAGGTCCCCGAGGAGGAGCGGCTACAGCAGAGGAGGTGAGGGCCATGCCGAGCAGACTCCTGGGGTCCGCAAGGGCCAGGGCACAGCCAAGAGGGTCCACAGGAACTGGGCTCTCTGAGGAGGCAGGGAAGGCCACAGGTGGGTTCCTGTGGGGGGGGGTCGCACGTGTGGACCTCATAACCTCCCTCCCCCGGCCCCCAGGGAGATGCTGAGAGACCCCGAGCTGAGGTCCAAGATGATCTCCAACCCGACCAACTTCAACCACGTAGCCCACATGGGCCCGGGCGATGGGCTGCAGGTGCTCATGGACCTGCCCTTGGTAAGTGTGGCCCGAGGACCGCCCCCCAGGGCCTCCCGCTTCTGTCTGGAGGCCCAGCAAGGGCTCACGGGGCTGCTTTCTCTCCCAGAGCTCGCTGCCGTCTGCACAAGAAGAGCGGCCCGGCCCCGCAGCAGCTGCCAGCACGGCCCGGCAGCCCCCGCCCAGGAACAAGCCCTATGTCTCGTGGCCCTCGTCAGGTACGGCACCACACCCACCCCACGTGGTAGGGGGCGATGGGCAGAGACACCCCTGAGACACCATTTTCTGCAGGTGGGTCGGAGCCCAGTATGGCTGTGCCCCTGAGGAGTCTGTCCGACCCAGACCAGGACTTCGACAAAGAGGTAAGATGGCACTCTCCCGTCTGGGCACCATCTGACCTCAAGGCGGGGAGGGTGTGTGTATACTGCCCGCCACACTCCCTTGTCCGACCCAGACAGCCTCTTGTCTGCACATGCAGTGGCCAGGGCCTCTCTGGTCAGCCCCCTGCTCCCACGCCTGCCATGGGCTCAGCAACCTCTCCTGAAACCAGCTGTCAGGCTCTGGCATCCGAGAGGCCGGGCATACGTTGGCTGTGAGGGTGTTGGCCATCTGGGGTCTCCCCCTCCGTGGGGGTAGGGGTGCGAGTGATCTGTGAGGAGTGGGCCGAGGCCTTTGCTGGCAGTCCAAGGAGAATAGAGCCCTGTCACATGGTCAGGAGGGGGTGGCGTGGGTCCAACAGATGACCTAGGGTTGTAGGCACTTTGGACAGTTGTAGTGGGCGGGGGGTGAGGGGGGATGTATACAGGAATATGTGTGCATCATGGGTGTGCAGGTCTACCTCTCATGTGTTTGTGCACGTCTGAATGTGTGTGCACCTGCCTGCATCCAGACCACCTGCTCCTTAGAAGTCCGGCTGTGATGCTGGGCCTGACCTTGTTTATCCAGGAAGCTGTTGGACCAGAGTGTCTGCCTGTCCGTTCCCACACTCACCCCTGGCAGGGTTCTGTGCAGGACACCTTCACCCCCCGCCCGGGCCCCGAGTCGGGAGGCTGTGCATTTCCTAGGAGCTATGAACTGGGTTTTCCAAGGCCTACACACACAGACACACACTCACACACACACACACACACACACACTCTGCAGGATTTAACCCCCAAGACCCTCCTCATTCCACCTCTTTACCCCCAATTATTTGAGGACCCCCTCCCCCCATACCATTGTATTAGTAGCCAGTCCAAACTTGGCTTGGCTTCGGGGCGGATGCTTTGCAGACAGTGCTGGTGTCACCTCCTTAGAGAGAGTGGCTGGCTCAACTGCCCAAGGCCTGGCAATGCCTCCTGGGGCCCTGTCTCCATTCCTCCTCCTCTGCCAAACTCGGTCCTTTTGGGGAACTGCTGCCCTTTCGATCTTAATGGACAATGAATGACAAATGTGTGTGTATTGATCATTTTCAATGTACAGTGTGGCCGAGAACGCTGCACACACTTCACCTGACCCTTTGGCTTTGGGGAGAGCCAGATGGCCACGAGTCCCAGCGCTGTGCCTCCACGCAGTCCCCTCAGGTCTCCTGTGAACTCAGTCTGCTTGGACATACCCCTAGCAGGCTGTCCCTGCAGTGGCTCTGGCCAGGTCCCAGCTGTACCTGGTGTCTTGAGACTGCCCTTACTTGGATGCGTGCAACGTGGTGGCTGGGCAGAGGGCACCTCCCCGGGTAGTTGGGTCTGCCTACAGCTAGTGGCCAGGTGGCTGTCCACCAGTGTGTGCACATGCAGACGTGTGCATACCACCCACCCTCTGAACTGCACACTGAGGCCAGTTTCCCCTCCAGAAAGCACATGCTGGGTCAGTCCCCGCTCTTCCAGGGACCTTGCCTGCCTGCTCAGTCGCCTGGTCTCTTGCTGTCCCCTTGATGGCAAGTTTCCCTGGGCCAGGAGCAGCTGGCTGGCCCCAGACTGCTCTCGACACGCCCACCTAGTAGGTGCTCCCCATTCCCGCCACAGCCTTGTGGCTGCCATAGGATGGGACAGTGGTGACCTGCCACTTGGAGGCTGTTCCTGGGCATTTCCCATGATGCAGTTCACGCTGGCTCACTCGGGCTGGCTGTCCTCACTGTCCCACAGCAATGGGTTCATGTGCCCTGTGTGGTGACGGGCTCAGGGCCCCTCTCGTTGGGAGGCTGGCAGTGGCATGTAGACGGTGCATCCCGAGGGTGCGGTATCCGTCGGGCCTCTCCCGCTGCGAGCTCACTCAGCCTCCATGTGTTGACAGCCGGACTCAGATTCCACCAAGCACTCCACACCGTCCAACAGCTCCAACCCCAGCGGCCCCCCGAGCCCCAACTCCCCGCACCGGAGCCAGCTCCCCCTGGAGGGCCTGGAGCCGCCCGCCTGCGACGCCTGAGCCGGAGCTCATGCCAGGCCCGGCTGTGCCAAGATCAGCGGACCCTTGTGTCATCCAAGGAGGCGTGGGTGGGGTGACGCGGGGAGACAGGAGCCCCAGCCATGGCCAGGCCCACCTGTCTGCCATGGGCGGTGACTATGCCGCCCACCCCCTGGGACCCTAGGCCCCCTTGTGGGGCTGGGAAGTAGCTGCTGCCCACCAAGACTGCGTCCAGGACCTCTGGGCTCCAAAGCTACCCAGGCTTGACACAGGAAGGTTTTGTGTGACCTTCTTGTTGCTAAGTTGCTGCGGGGCTCAGCTGCAGGAGTGTCCCAAGCCTTGCAGCCAGGGACCAGGACCCACAGTGCCACTGGCCCCTACTGCAGTGTCCACTGTGCCCCATCTCCCACGAGTCTCTCAGCTCCTGCTGCTGGCCCCACCCCTGGCCAGGAAGCTGGGCAGCAGGGGCTGGAGGCCCCCTCCTGCGCAGCCCCTCACATGGAGACCCCGTGATCCGTCCCCTGAGCTGATCACGTAGACGCACCCATACACTCCGGGTCCCAGCCTCGGCCAGGCTGGCCGGCTGGCCGGCCCCGTATTTAACCCCCGCTCCTGTCCTCCACATTCAGTACTCGGGTTGTGACCCTGTGACATTAAAGGCTTGTAATTATCTGGCAGCTGACTGCCATCATCCAGCTTGGACCATCCCGTCATGGCAGCCCTGTTCTCCACATCCTGTGGGTGCAGGGGAGGGGCTGGCAACCCCCTCCCGGGGGAGGGGGGGGCTCTGGTTTTTACTTTTCTAACGTGAAGTCTGAGTCTTTGTAATTACTGTCGTGGGGACACTTTGGACAATTCACCTGTCAATAAAGAGGCAGCCAGCAGTTTTCAACATGCCCGGGATCTGTCTGTGTGGCAGCACTGTCCTAGTCCCAGGGGCAAGCTGCACCCCTCCCCAGGTCAGGCTGGACACTGGGTCCAGGGACAGTGACCAGCCCTGAGGGTCACTTGCCTGTTTGCCTCCAGAGAAGATAGACAACTCCAAGAGTGGACGGCCAGCACCACCTAGCTGGCGACTCGGTGTGGTCATAACCACTAGGGCTCCTGGAACACGCCAGGCCCACCTCTCTTCTAGGGGGGGCCAACTAATGGGAGTGGGGAAAAGTCAACCCTAGGCCGGAGAGGCAGGGAGGCCACAGAGCAGGGGCTCTGTCATGGGCACTGGTTTGCGAAGCCTGAGCATTGCCGCCTTGCAGGGGGTGGGGGTGGGGGGGTATGTTGGGTTGAAAGACGATAATGGCTTTTGGCCACTCCTTTATTGAACAAGGTCACTCAGCTCTTGTCCTCCGCCTGGAGGGTGGGAAGGGGGTTCCGGGGAAGCCAATTTTCTGTAGATCGTTGGCCAAGCCTGGCCGCAAGTGTGGGGAGCCAGGCTCCCTCAGGCCTCAGCCTCATCACCAGAGAACAGTGGGTTGACGAAGTAATTGGAGCTCACAGCGTCAGTTTGCGAGGTGGCAGTCTAGAGGGAGAGACAGTCAGCAGCCCCCAAGGAGGACTGCCCGGAATACCCTCCCTGGTGGCTGGCAGCTTACCTGCTCCGCAGAGCCCGCCAAATCGAACACTGGATTTTGGAAGCCATGGGGCTGCTCAGCCAGCCCAGGGGCCTGCTCCTCATGCCTTCTCCACCTGAGTGGGGATCAAGAATACCCGTGGTATCCCTCCTAGCACTCCTGACCCCACCTAGTGTATGCAAATGATCCCGCCGAACAGTTTCTGACTCAGACACGGACACACCCACTACCACGCCAAAGCCCAACCTGAGCTGCGGAGTTCTTGAGCACCCAGCACTGCCTGTACCTGAGCCTCCCCGACCAGCGCAGCAGCAGTACCACGAGCCCGGCCAGTACCGCAGCTAAGAGCACCGCAGCCGCCACGCCGCCCGCCACCTCCGCGCGGGGTCCAAGTCCTTCCTGCCCTGCAGAGCCACCTTCAACGGGCGCGCCGGACTCGCGGGCCGTCGCTGACAGGATGCCCAGGGCTTCGCCTAGCAAGCAGAGGCGGTTTAGTCTCAGGGCCGTGGGGACGGGGGCCGAAGGGCCGGCGAGGCTCACCGTGCTCCGAGATGTCTGCCAGGATAGCCCGGGCCAGCCGCCGAGCACCACCTGCCTGGGGCCAAGTCTCCGCCAGCACCACCTGGATCTCCGTGTCTGGCCCTGCACCTGCTGCCTCCCCTGTCCGCCGCGTGCGCCGCACCTTGGAGACGGCCACCTGCACCCCCTGGTCCTCTGGCTGGCGGGAGGGAACAGGGCTGGTAGAGACTCCCGCATGGGGGACGGGGCGGAGTGGGGAGTGCGGCTCAGGGGTCCCCGCCGGAGGGGGCGGGGGTGTTTTCCCCAATAATATCCGACGAGGCTGCAGAAGGGGCGTGGGAGGCACTTACCCGGAGAAAGGTGCGCAGCAGCCGCTGGCGGTACAGCTTGAGGTCAAAGGCGGCGCCGTGCGTCAGCGAGACCACGGCTCCTGTGCAGGAGGGCAAGCTCAGCGCGGCCGCCAGGAAGAGCCTGGCCACCCTGCGCGCGCGGCAGGCCCAGGTGGGGCACCCCTCTCACCGCACAGGTCGCAACACTGGCCCTCGGGGCGGAGAGCGTCGTGGCAGGCGGCCGGGGGACAGCGGCCATCCAGGGGCTGGAGCAGGGCTGCACAGACCCGGGGCTGCACCTGCGGAGGGGGCGGGAGTGGCAGGGGCCGCGAGGTCAAGAACTACGAACCTTCCAACCCCGCTTCCTGCCTGGCCCCGCCTGTGCCCCGGTCCCGCTGACCTCCTCGTTGCCACAGACGCAGCCGGACGGGTCCGCACAAGCCTCGGGGGCCACCCGCAGCGTGCCTGGCCCTTGGAAGCGCAAGCGGCCGGCGCGGGACCCCAAGAAGGCGGCCAGATCGTCGACGCGCGTGAATGTCTGCGGACCAGGCCAAGAACGGGGTGCATTAGAGTCGACGCCCAGGCACCCGGACAGCAGACGCGGGGCGCCCGGGGACCCAGCCTCACCCGGCCCAGGGCCGACACGCTGTGCACAGATCGGGCGCCCGGGCCCAGGTCCACGCGGAAGGAGCTGGTCGCGGGGAAGACGACGTCATCCTGTTGGCAGGGCACGCGCTCTGCGTCCACGGAGAAGATGCCCTGTGCTGTGTCCTCGGAGCGCCACAGGCGCGGGTCGTGCCAAGAGAAGCGGTCGGGGTCTCGGAAGAGTGCAGGAGCCCCTGGAGGGGAGCAATCCTGAGACCCCAGGGGATTCCCGGGCCTAGACAGCGCTACCCGGCCCCGCCTCCCGGGAGCCCCGCCCAGGACACGCCTCCTGAAGGCCCCGCCCCTTTACCTTCCGTAAGTCCAGCCCCTGAACCTGCCCTCCATGAAGCCCCGCCTTTCAGGAGCTGTTCCCAGGTGCTTCCTCCTCCTTTTCAGGCTGACCAATGACACGCCCCACTAAAGCCCCGCCCCAGGATGGGCACCCCTAGAAGCTCTCCACCCATGCCCCACCCCGACCCTTGACCACGCCCTGTCCCTCCCTGGAACCCTCCCGGGGGACCCTTCCTGCTGCCCACCAGCCTCACCAGGACTACAGTCCGGGTCCCCGGGGGTGACTGAGGCACTGAATGCCGCTTCGGGGGCCAGCACAAGTTCTCCATCCGTCGGCAGGAGCTGCGAAGGCACAGGCTGAGGGGGTCCCACCCGCGCTCCCCCAGTTTCCCCAGCTAGCAGGGAGACGGGGAAGGTGTGCAGTGACTGCTCAGAGACCCCCGGAACCGTGCGTGGAAGGCCTGGGGCCTGATCCTTCCCTCCCTCACCCACCGCAGAAAAAGTTACAGGGGTGGTGAGCGCCAGGAAGTCCATTTTTAAATCCCGGGAGCCTCTGGCGGCTGAATTGTGTTAGCGTGAAGGGGCGGCTTCCAGGGCCCGGGGCTCACTGGGAAGCCACTTCTTATCACAAATTCCAGGCCACCACCCAGGCCTCTGGTGAAAGAGGGACGTGGAGCATCAGGCCACCCCTGACTCCACCATCCTGCCTCTCCAGCCCAGGGGTGGGAGCTGACCCCGTGTCAGGTCAGCACTGTCAGGAATGCCCACCCCAGGGCAATCTTGGGGACCACGGTGGCTGCCCGTCACTTCTTAGCTGAGCCCCCCAGAGACCACCCAGGCAGAGTGAAGACAGGTGGGACCCACCCTACAAATATGTTCAAGAAGGAAGTGTTCACAGCACGGACAGGAAACTTAATAGAACAAAATGAGACATCATAGTCCTAAGGAAGTGAGCCAGGGGAGGCCATGAGCTGTGGGGCTCCCAGCGAGAGACCCCAGAGGACAGCCGGAGGAGAGATGGGTGACAGGCGGGGAGACACGGCCGTGCCCAAATTCAGCCATGGAAAGTCCCAGAATGAGGAAAGGTTTCGAGAGAAAAAAAAGAATTTTACAAAATCATAATAATTTATAAATTATCAAGGGTTCACGAGGGAGGGGAAGAAATGAGGAGCTGATGCCAAGGGCTCAAGGAGAAAGCAGATGTTTTGAGAATGATGATGGTAATAAGTATGCAAATGTGCTTGACACATGGATGGATGGATTATGATGAGTGTATGAGCCCCCAATAAAATGACTTAAATAAATAAATAACATGTTATGATTATATTTTTTAAAAAGAATTTTTCAGATTTGAAAAAAGTTGGAAAACCTCACATTGAAAAGTCTCAGAGTATTAAATGGGAAATAAAGCCGATACATACCTAGACACAAGAGAGTGAGCTGATGGGCATCAGAGACAAGAAGCCAATACATATCTAGACACAAGAGAGTGAGTTGATGGGCATCAGAGACAAGAAGAGGAGTCAGGAAACTTCGGAAAGAGAGAACAGAACCCCCCCCACCAGAAGGGGGTGTGGGATTTTTAAAATTCATATTTCCCAACAATGAAAACAAGAGGTCCAGAGTACCATCTTTTACATAGAAAAGGTGGAAGAAATTCTACATTTTCACTTCCAGACAGGCTGTTCTTCGACGACGAGAATATTAGTAAAATAACCTCAGACCAAAAAGAAAGCTGTTGCTCAAGTGTGATGGAGCCCTGGTGGTGATTCCGAGTTGGGCTGTGATCCACATGGTCGGCGGTTCAAAACCACCAATTGCGCCGCTGGAGAAAGACTGGGCTTTCTACTCCTGTAAACAGTTAAAGTCTCGGAAACCCTGAGGGGACGCTGTGAGTCAGCATCGGCTCATGGCAGTGAGTTTATATACAAGGGCAGTTACCACACAAAGCCTTGGCGAAGAGGGGAGACAAATCTGGAAGCTGCAAAGCGTCAAGGGAAGGGAGGCAGGCGGGATACCTGGGCAAAGCCTATGGTTGTCATTTTAAAAGCTGAGGCTGAACTATCTAAAGCTAAACTGCCTTGGAAATGGAAGAGGGGGAGGACCACAGCGACGTGGGCATAAACTAAAGAACTTGATAAATGAGACACTGGGAAGTTTGGGACATCAATAAAAGCATCACTACGCAAGTTCCCACCACTTGTCTGCCAGTCTGTTGCACTGTGGTGGCTTGTGTGTTGCTGGGATGCTGGAAGCTACGTCACTGGTATTTCAAACGCCAGGGTCACCCAAAGTGAACAGGTCTCAGCGGAGCTTCCGGACTAAGAACAGACTACAAAGAAGGAACCAGCTACCCACTTGACCAGAAGGGGCTCCTGAAAAGCTTATGCAAAGCTTAGAAACATGGTCCGGTACAGAGGGCCTACTGAATAGGAAGAAGCAGAGCATTGTTGGTGGTAGCACCAGAATACGGGCCCTGGGCACTGGGTCAGAGGGCACTGGAAACGTGATTGAGGAGAAACTGATTTCTCAGACTGGAGTCCACCATGGTTGGTGTGAGTCAGGTAAATACCTGTGGGAGGGGAGCCTTCCGGATCTTCCTTTGCTGATAGGGCATGACTCAAGATAAGGAGAAACAGCTGCAAAAAGCTGCTAATGACTGGAACTTGGAATGTGCAAAGTTTGAATCTAGGATAATTGGAAGTCATCAAAAATGAAGTGGAACACATAAAGATTAATATCCTCGGCATGAGTTAGCGGAAATGGACTGGTATTGGCCACTGTGAATCAGAAAATCATGTGATTTACTGTACAGGAGCAGCACATTCAAGAGGAGTGGCATGGTATTCATCGTCAACATCCATCATGAAGTACAATGCTGTCTGTCTGTGATCAGATTATCTGTCCACCTTCACAGAGATTCAATCAGTACAACTCTTACTCAGATGTGTGCCCCAACCACAAAATCTAGTGAAGAAGAAATTGAAGACGCCTGCCAGTGGCTTCAGTCTTAAGTTGATCACACTTGCAATGACGATGCATTGATAATTATTGGTAATTAGAATGCAAATTTGGAAACAAAGAGGAAGGAAAGTAGTTGGGAAATATGGACTTGGTGATGGAGATGGAGCTGGAGATGAAATGATAGAATTTTGGAAGATTACCAACGTGTTCATAGCAAATATCTTTTTTCAGCAACACAAGAGTTGTATGAGCCCCTAATAAAGGATGAAGTCAAGGGGTGAATAGACATTTTCAGAGGGCAACTCGGAAAGACAAGGCCAGATATTATAATGAAATGTGTAAAGATCTAGAATTAGAAAACTGAAAGGGAAGAACATACTCAGTAAGTAAACGGAAAGAACTGAAGAAAAACATTCAAGCCTCAAGTTGCAATCTTGAATGATTCTATGGGCACAATATTGGATCATGCAGGTGGCATCGGGAGAAGATGGAAAGACTGCACAGAAGAGCTGGTCGACAGGGCCCCACGTCAGGAGGGGGCACGCGAGCCAGAACCAGGGGTGCTGAAGGAAGAAGTTCAAGCAGCTCTGAATGCATTGGTCAAAAACAAGGCTCCAGTAATTGATGGAACACCAAATAAAAGTATTTCTCCACGAGCTGATGAAGCACTCACTGGGCATGCCAGGAAATTTGGAAGACAGCTAGTTGACCAACCGACTGGCGGGGATCCACATTTGTGCCCACTGCAAAGAAAGGTGACCCAACAGAAGGCTCAAACTATAGAACAGTATCACTGATGTCACCTGCAAGCAAAATTTTGCTGAAGATCATCCAACAACAGTTGCAGCAGTCCATTGACAAGGACCTTCCCGAAGCCCACACATTCAGAAGAGGACAGGAAACGGGACATCATCGCTGACGTCAGATGGATCTTGGCTCAAAGCAGAGTTTGCCAGAAAGATTACTTGTGTTTCATTGACTCTGCCAAGGCATCCGGCTGGATGGACCATAATAAACACCATGCTAGCTGGAGAAAAGCTTGACGTTGTTGAGGATTTTGTCTTGCTTGGATCCACAATCAATGTTCATGGAAGTAGCCATCGAAAGATCAAAACACGTGTTGCATTAAGTAAATCGGCTGCACATGGCCACTTTGGAGCATTGAAAAACAAGGATGTTACTTTGAGGACTAAGGTGTCCAAGACGCCAATCATGGTGTTCTCCCTTGCTTCCTATGCATGTGAGGGTTGGGCATTGAATAAGGAAGACCCAAGGAGAACCGATGCATTTGAATTGTGATGCTGGAGAAGAATTATTCAAAGTGCCATGGACTGCTCAAAGGACAAATCTGTCTGTCTTGGAAAAAGTACGGCCAGAGGGCTCTTTAGAGGCAAGGATGGCAAGACTTTGTCTTACAGACTTACATGCTTGGGTCACCTTTGCCCTCAAAGTAACAGCCTTGCTTTGGACACTCTGAAAGTGCAACGCTCGTCTATCACAACATGGCTTTTGATCTCTGGAGCACTGATTATGGATTCCAGCAAGACACGATCCTTGACAACGTCTACCTTTTCTCCGATTATCACATTGGTACCCCTTGATCCAGTTGTGAGGCGTTTGGTCATCTTTACATTGAGTCGCCGTCACCCATCGGGAAGGCTGCAGTCCTTGGTCTTCAATAAGTGCTCAAGTCCTCCTCGCTTTCAGTAAGCAAGGTCATGTCATCTGCATATCAAGGTCATGCCATCTGCATATCAAGGTCATGCCATCTGCATGTCAAAGGTTGTTAAGAAGCCTTCCTTTCATCTTGATGCCACATTCTTCTTCATACATGTCAGTGTCTGTCAGCACACAGACAGAACAAGTATGGTGAGGATACAACCCTGACGCACACCTTCCCTGATTTTAAACTATGCAGTAGTCCCTTGTTCTGTTCACACAACTGCCTCTTGATCCGGCACAAACTCCACATGAACACAGTGAGTGTGCTGGAATCCCCATTCTTCTCAAGGTGATCCATCGTTTATTATGGTCCACACAGTCGAATTGGAGCATTTCAATTGCTCTTTTATCAATTCCTAGAGCCTTGTTTTTGGTTAATGCTTTCAGTGCAGCTTGAACGTGTTCCTTCGGCAACATTGGCTCTTCCTCATGTGCTACCTCCTGAAATTGTGGAATGTTGACTAGTTCCTTTTTGATAGAGTGATTCTGTAGACTCTCAGTTCTGCAAGTTGAGGCTTGAGTTTTCCTCGAGTTCTTTCGGTTTCAAATCTGCCCTTGAGGTGTTCTCAAGGTCAGGTGAGATAGGCTCAAGGTCATAGTTCAGTTCCAGTGGGTGTGTTTTTATTTTCAGCTTCACCCTGAACTAACACAGGAGCAACAGACGGCTGCTCCACAGTCAGCCCCGGGGCTGCGGATCCTGAGCTTCTCCGTTCTCTCTCCCCACAGATGTGGTCCATATGATTTCTGTGTATCCCGTCTGGAGAAGAAGTCCACGTGTATAGTCGCCCTTTGTATTGTTAGAAAAAGGCTGAACAAGGCGGTGTTTTTGCAAGTCTGTCATGTGACCTCCCGCTTCATTTCTATCGCATTTTTCAGCTGCTGTTCCTTCCCCTTTGCCCCCACCTTCTGTGTTCCAGTGGCCGATAATTATCAATGCCTCTTGATGGCTAGTGTAATCCATTTAAGACTGAATTCTTCCACTTCTTCATCACTAGCTTTCGTGGTTGGTTAGGGCACACATTTGAACACTCGCTGCACTGATCTCCTTGAAGGCAGTAGATACGATCCTGTCACAGGCATGATGGGTGTGGATCTTGCAATGTCCTTTTTGACAGTGAATGCCAAGCCACTCCTTGGAGTGTGTCATCTCCGGTACAGGGAATCACATGATCTTCTGATCCAGAATGGCCAATGCCAGTCCGTTTCAGCTCACAAATGCCTAGAATATCAATCTCTCCACGTTCCATTTCATTTTTGACCACTTTCCGTTTTCCTAGACTCAGACTTTGCACATTTCACGCTCCAATCATTAGCAGACTAGTGCAGCTGTTTCTCCTTACCTGAAGCCGTGCTCCATCAGCAAGCCCCACTCCCACGGGCTTTATGGGCCTCAGGTCACCACGTAGACTCCACTCCCCAGAAATCAGCTTCTCCACAGTCACAATTCAAGTCCCCTTGTACCTGAGGGGGTCCATCCTCTGGCACCATCTCCAGCCATGTCCTGCTCCCGTGCACCGGGCCTTCCGTATCCGACAATGTCTCGCAGCTGTGCCTGACGTCCTCGGAGGCTCCTTCCCCTGAAACGGGGAGCGAGCCCCTCGGCATCGTCTGTTCTCCGTCTGGATGCTCCTCTGAAACCTGTTCGCGCGGGGTGACCCTAATGGCCCTTGAAATACCAGTGATACAGCTTCCAGCATCCTACAAGCCGCCACAGTCCGACACACTGAGACAAGCGGCGGCGGCGTAAAGATTGACAGACTGGGAAACCCTGCCAAGGGTGGCTATTATTCAGAATCCACCACATCTACTCTCCAGAAGATGGCAGTAGAGAGTGTTCTGCCGGAAGGCTCATGTGGTCGGCCAGGTGAGGAAGGTCAGGCCCTAGGACGAGTCAAGAGGAAGTGGCCTCTTTTCAACCCACAGGAAGGTATGGGGAGGACACGGGCCTCACCCAGCACTTCAACCTCAGGAAGCCTCATGCACAGGCCACAGGAGGACAAGCACTCCTCGACTGGGCTGCGGGCAAGAAGTTCAGCGGTTCGAAACCACCAGCCGCTCCTGGAAAGAGAGACAGGAAGAGGGCACAGGGCAGCTCTGCCTTGTCCTCTGGGGTCACTGCGAGTCGGGATCGACTCAATGGCAGCGAGTTTTGAAAAAGATCCACTATCTGCGTAGGTTATATATTTTTTTAAGCTGCTGACCAACTCGTCACAAGAATAGGATTTCCTCAACTTGATAAAGTTCCTATGCCGAAACCCCACAGCAACCCGTCCTCGGCAGAATAACTGGAAATCCCTTCTGCTCAGCATTGGGATGAACGAAGATGGTGCCTTTTCTGGCTTCTGATTAATGGATGAGCCCTGATCAGAGCTAGACGGGGAGAGAAATGAATGGAGTGGTGGCTAAGGTAGAAGGGAAATTATTCAACAGCAGAACCAACTTGAGAATTGAAAGAAAAAAAAAGCCCTGGCGAGGTTTTGGGGTCAACGATGTCGTGCTAACTGCACGGTCCATGGTTCAAACCCATCAGCCACTCACTGCATGGAAGCAAGATGAAGCTGTCTGCTCCCACCAAGATAGACAGCTCTGGAAGCCCTATCGAGGGTAGGCTGGCATCCATCAGATGGCAGTGGGTTTGATTTGGTTCAAGGAACTCCGGCAGTGCTGTGAGGAGCCAGCCTGGATGGCAAAGTGGCTACGAGTCAGGCTGCTGTGAGGTCAGCAGTTTGAAACCACCAGCTGTTCCTTGGGAGACAGATGAGGCTTTCTACTCCCACAAGGAGTGAGTCTTGCAAACCCACAGGGGCAATCCTACCCTGCCCTATAGGTTCTCTCTGCGCCGGCATGGCCTCGATGGCAGTCAGGTGGTATGTTGGACTGCTAACTGCGAGGTCAGTGGTTCAAGCCCACCAACTGCTACTCAAGAGAACGATGAGGCTGGGGGCTCCCTTAAAGACTGACAGCCTCGGGAACCCTCAGGAGCAGTTCCACTCTGCCGTATGGGGTCGCTAAGAGTTGAGTGGCCTTGATGGCAGTGGGTTGTTATTATTTTTTCCCCGATGGTCAAAAAAAAAAGTATCTTTTCCAGTTAGGCCACGATTCACAATAGCAACCAAGCCTATGAAGTATTTACAAATTAAGCACTACTATACAAGATCCTGAGGAGCCCTGATGGCACAGTGGTTACCCACTGGGCTGCTAACCACAAGGTCAGCAGTTCGAATCCACCAACCGCTCCAAGTGCGAAAGATGAGGTTTTCTACTCCAGTAAGCAGTTACAGTCTTAAGACTCCCCAAGAGGCATTTCTACCCTGTCCTATAGGGCAGCTGTGAGGATCACAGTGAATTTATACATGAGCTTCAGGAGTCCTGGTGATGGCACAGTTGGGTAGGATTTGAATTTGAATCCACCAGCGGCTCTGTGGGAGAAAGATGAGGCTCTCTACCCCCAAAAGGCACCCGGCTACAGTCTCAGAAACCCATGGGGGCAGTTCTACCCTGTCCCATACACTCGCCAGGAGTCGGAGCCGACTGGATGGCGGTGACTGTTTTAAGGAGGCTTGGTTGCACAATGGTCAGCACTCAGCAGCGAACCAGACGTGGGCGGCTGGAGCCGACCAGCCCCTCGGAGGAAGAGGGGCAGCCTCTCCTGTAACCAGGCCCTTGGAAGCCCTGTGCGGCAGGTTTACCTATCATGAGGGTCTTCGCTGGGTGTCAGGGGTGGTGGGAGAGACCAGGCTGGAGGGACCCCAGAAACGTAGTAGGAAGGAACGAAGCAATTCTGCCGAGCCCCGTCTGACTCGGCGCCCCTCCCCTGCGAGCACTCTGGACCCGGCCCGAGTGGCCGTGGCGACGCGTCCCCTTCGGGGCCGGGCTGAGCGGGAAAGGCGCTGTCTGGGCAGAGGGGCCGGGCCGACGCCCAGGCTCCCACGCGGTGGGCGCGGAGGGCGGGTCCCGCACGGGGACACAGGGCTCGCGCTCCGCCCGCTGCGGCCCTTGCCGGAGGCCAGCGACCTTCCCGACTGGCCGCCCTGGAGGCGTGACCGGGGCGGGCGGGGCGCGCGGGCTCTGGGCGGGGTGCCTGGTGCCGCCCGCGGCTCCTGCAGCCTGGCCTCGGTGACGGGGCGCGAGCCCCAGAGCTCCCCAAGCACAAGGGCGCGAACCGGAGGCTGGGCCGGAGGCGCCAGCAGGGTTCCGCAAACCAACCCTCCGATCCCCGGGAACTCACTGCCGTCGAGGCGATTCGACTCAGCGGCCCTGCAGGGACCCGTGCGGGTTTCCGAGGCCGTGACTGCACGTTCGGCTGGTGGTTTCCAACCGATGACCTCGCGGCTGGCAGCCCCGGAGAAACCACTGCCCCACGGTGTTCCCGAGTTCTGACAGGGTGCTTCCAGACACCCCACCCCGTGCCACGACCCGACCCACCCCTTGCTGGTGGCCAATGGCTAGGTAGGGGTGCACCCCCTATGCCAGAGAGGGTCTGCGGCCAAAAGCCAAGGAAGGGGCTTCAAGGAGACTCGGTCTTCAAGGAGACCTCTCCCCACTCCCTTTGAGCCCCACTCACCATGTCGGAGACGCTGTGACTCCCCCGCACCAGCACAGACACCATCTGTAGAAGGGGCAAGTCAGCTCAAGCGGCCTGGCCACCCTGGACAGGCAGAGGAGCGGAGACCCCTCCTGTGGGGGACCCCAGGCACCTTGTGTGCTGGAAACACGATGCAGGCGCCTGAGCATGGGGTCCGGTTCTGGTTCCAGTTCGAGGCGCTGTCGAAGTCGGTGTTGGGGACCCAGAGTTTGTAGGCAGCCCGGGCCAGTGCTGGGGAGGGGGCTGGCTGAGTGCCCGCCAGGCTGTGGCCCTGGTCTGGGTCAGCTTGGCCCCCGGGTCAGCCCTGGGCCCTGGCCCCTGCTCATGTCAGGGTCTAAGGCACTCCTATGAGATACACAACCCCCCCCCCCACCGAAACAGCCAGCCCCTCAGCCCGCTGGGACCGCTCCCCACTCTGCCCATCAAGAACAGTGACAGTCCCAGGGCCGTGGGCTAGGGTGGTCTCTGGGGGAACCCTGCCGTCCCTGGTCCTGTACGGACTGCACCTCCAATAGGGCAAAGGGAGGGTTGCAGGGAGACCATGGGCTGGGGCGCAGGGTTGACCAGCGAGCCCATCAGAGGGGAAGGGAGACTTCAGGGCCTGGGCATTGGGGG